GAATTACCCAGAGAATTTTTTTTAGTAAATAGTTTCCCAGGTCCCACCCTAGACCAAAAGAATCCATATTTCAGTGGTGGGGCCCAAGAATGCACATCTTTGACAAGTTTTCAGGTGTTTCTGAGGCCCAGCCAGGTGGGAAAATTATGTTGGTTTCTTTAAGCTATAAACTGTTACCTCTAATGAGTTGGAATTAAAGAAGAAGAGGTCTATAATCAGGAGTACCTTGGTCACAGATAAGCCATCCACAAATAATCAGGCAGGCCCTGCACCTTGGCCTGGATCTTCAAGTGTCACCTGGCTTCTGACCCAGCTGTCACTCCCAGGCTCTGGGTCTGCCTAGCTGCCTGCCCTCACTCCCTGCTCCCCTTACCCAGGTGTGGGCACTGGGTCCAGCCAGCTGGTGATTAAGGAGAGAGAAACAGTGCTCACTCCAACCTATATGCTCTGGTCTGGGTTAACCCAGCCTTCCCCTCCTTGCTCCTACCCACCAGTTTGTGAATCCAGCCTTGAGATTCCCAAATTCCTAGTGCCATGCCAGGATTTCTGAAAATGTCAACATAGTACAGGAAAAATAGCATCACAGAAACTTGTGCTCTCGAAGCAGAATGTCTATGTTCTAGAAGCAGATCTATGTTCCAGAAGTAGAAGATCCCACCTCCTCTACATGGGAGATGTGTGCCTCGAAAAGGCCAAGTACTTAATCTAGTGCCTACTATTTTGCACTTTTATTCTGTGTGAAGCACAGTGTTAAGCACGCTACATATACTATACCACTTAATCCTTTTAACTTTTCAGATAGGACTATCATTTTTTATTTACAGATGAGAACACAATGGCTCAAAGAGATTGAGTAACTGGTCCAAAGGCAGAGCTGGGATTTAGAACTTACTCTTAACATCTATGATGCTGTCTCCCCAGGGATATCATTTATAAAACGAGAGTAATGCTATCCTCATAGTATTGTTGAGGAAGATCAAATGGAAGAAACTTAGGCAGTGGAAGCAAACATCTCAGAGAGTCCGCTGGGAGTCATGCACCAAATGAGGCTCAGCAAAACACCTCTGTGTTGCCTCCCATCCCCTACAAAATCAGCGTCAAAATATAAGATCTGTCAGCTACTTCCCATCTGACCAGAGGCAAGGCCAAAAGGGGAGAATAAATGAGGGTTGAAGAAATAAGAATGCGAGGCGGGGATTCATGCCAAATCATGAATATAGGTCCAATAACAACAAAAAGGATCTCAGGGTCACAGTGGACCAAAAGTGAAACATGACTCAGTAGTGATATTTCAAACCAAGGGAAGGATTTTTTTGGGGGTGAGTGGGTAAGTGGAACACTTGAGGGGACACCATTTACCTCTGATTATTGCCGTGGCAGATGTAGAAGACTAAGGAAACTCACATCTGTTGGGAGGGACACAGGTTCTGGGCGACAGTCAAGATTCAAGTCAAGATGTGATGACAACCCTGGGCTGAAACCAGCCAGATGAAATGAAATCAGGATATGTGTAGAGGCCAAAAATCAAAGAGTTCCAGAGTGAGGCAAGGGCAAGGTGGAGGAGTCAGTAAGGTGACCTTAGGTAGTGGCAGTGTGGGGAGATGACTGCCAGGTGGGCCATGCTGATTCCCAAAGGACTGCCATCCTAAATCTCCTCTGGTCACTCCATAAGGCTATGTTGGGTTCAAGTCCCCACTGTGAGGCAGGCTCTGGTGAGTTAGTCTGTCCAGAAGCAGGGGTTGGGGTTTTCGGTCATATGAGGAAAGACAGAAGGCTGTGTAATCTGCTGTAAAGTCTCCAAGGCAACTTGAGAGCTGTCGTCACACATCATCAGGAGAGGCTGTGAGGTAGAAAAGTGAACAGACTTTTCTGGGAGGCTTCAGCTACGTCAGGCAGAACAAAGGCCTGTAAGGGAGTGACAGGCGGCGAAATTTCACTGCAGGGGAGGGAAGAACTTGCTGTCACTCAGAGGTGTCTCTGTGAGGGAGAGGCAGGGCACAGGTCAGCTGGCAGAGCAGAGAGCTCCCAGTCCCTGTGGGTTTTCAGACAGTTGCCCAATGGCTTGGAGATGCTGTAGAGAGAGCTGCTGTGGTGGGAGAGAGGTTAAACTAGACCACAGTTTTTTTCATTCCTTCTTAGAAACTGTTTCTTCAAATGACAACTGATGGGATGCTCGGTAAATAACACACTGCTTCTCTGGTTGAGTTAGAGGTAAGGACCAGGCTTACAGGGTCCCTACCTGTAAGGAACTGTTAGATTTCTTGACTCACACTTGAAAACTAGTGACTGGACAGTCTCTAAGGTCCTTTTTAATGGTAAGACTTGGTAAGCCAAGACAGGAGCTTGAATGTGCCAAAAAAGTAACCGTCTTGCTCTAAAAGTTCGTTCATTGTTTGTTGGTTCTTTCTGCCTACAAACCCTGGACCTGATTGCCTCCTCTGATGGCCCTTTGTTTTCCACATGCAGCCTCTGCAATAAGTGCAAGCAAAATGGCCACTCTCGGGCTGGGATATAAGCACAATGTGTTTTCCAGGGCTGGTCTCATTGTACACGCGATGTTTGTAGACACAGGCGGTCTGAGCTGAGCAATCATCCAGGAGGAATTTATTTGACATTCACTGGGTATCTTGTCTCTCTGTGTCAGGCTTCATGCTGGACACTGGGAATATAATGTCCAGGAAGGTAAGATCCCGGCCTCAGAAGAGTGTCCAGTCTATGGGAGAGACAGCCTTGTAAAGGCAGAACACAAAACACTGGGGAGGAACAGAGGACCACATGACCAGGGTGGGGTCAGCGTGGATTGGGGGAGGTGTCAGGGACGGCTCTAGTAGAGATGGTTCAGTGGAGCTTTGAAAGACAAATAAGAATTAACTTGATGAAGGGAGAATGGGTATTTGAGGCAGGTAAAAGTATCTGAAAAGGTCAGGACAGAGATAAGAACACAGTGTGTTCAGGGAACTGTTAAGTTGTCCAGAATGAATGGAGCTAAGGGAGTGGGTAGGGGCCTAGCAAGAGATGAGCCTACAGATGTCACCATGGACCAGATCCCAAAGCTCTTGTGAGCAGATCCAAAGGGACTTTATTCTGAAAGCTCTGAGGAGCCTGGGAATATTCCTAAGTGGTTCGAACCAATTTTTCTTATAGCTCGTCCAGTTCCTGAGGCCCGAAGAGCTCAGAAGTGGCCCTGTGAACACTGAGGGATGAGCCTGCTCAGTGGACATTACAAATGATACCATTAAGTCCGGGGCATGGACAGTCCACCTTCTATTCCTGGCTTGGCTCCTGATGCAGGCAGTGACCTTCAAGTCATGTCTTTCCTTTTCGTGTACCAAGTCTCTCCTTTAGCAGAATAGGGCTAAAAATGCTGCCACCAGCCTGTCACATTAGGAGAATTGCCAAGACCAAAGTGCTCCATGTGGCATAAAACAGCACAAAAAAATCCTCCTCAGGTAGAACACGCTGGCTTTTGAAACAAAGTTTGGAGGAATCGGAAATGTATAAGGTGTGCATTTTGTTCTTGAGTTGCCAGCAAGGAAACCGGCACACTAGTTTCTCAAAGCAAGGGCTGGTTCAAGAGCCACTCGTGATTTCTTAAGCCTTGAGTTGGCTGCTGGAGCTGGGATTAGGGGTGATCGGGAGGCTGCCCTCTCTTCTGAGCTGGAGGCAGGGCAGGGCGGGAGGTGGGGCGCAAGGAGAGCAGTGCCACATCTCACCAACTATCAGGTTCCTGCTGACCTCAGAGGGTCATGGGAAAGACTGAGATAATCCACGTAAAGGGCTTAGCGCAGGGGCTGGCACATGTAAGCCCCCAGTAATAAATGTCAGTGGTTACTGTTAACACGCATATATTGTGAGACCAACTCTGAACTCACAGGGCCTCCCGTCTCATTCTTTACAGAATAGAATACGTTGAGACTTTATATTGTCTGCTTTTTATTCTCTTTTAAGCTATAAGCGCTTCACGGTGGGTACCATGGTCTGGCAAGATTTGCATTCCCCACAGCATCCAGCAGCTTTCTTTAGCATTCCTTGCCCCTCTTCTGAGATGGCCCTGGTCAGTCTGCCTTGTAATTATTCACGTCAGTGTCTCGCCTTACTGAACTGTGAGCTCCTCAAGGGCAGGGACTGAACCTTTAAATCTGTGCCCAGAGACCAGCGTGCATAGCTTGGCCCTGCTTCAAGGCCTCAGCACCTGTTCTTTTCTTTATCTGGTACTTTTCCCCCACCTCAAGCATCAGCTGTCACCTCTGCAGAGATGGTGCTCCTGACCATTTAAGTTACTGCTTCCACTCCACATTCTATCACATTAAAAAAAATTTTCATAGCACTACCCGTATTTGAAATACTCATTATTTATTTGTCTTCCCCACAAGAATATAAGCTCCATTGGAACAGGGGCCTTATTTGTCCTGTTCATTGCTGCATTCCCCAGTTTCCTATAACTGTGCTTGGCAAATAATAGGTGCTCAATAAATATGAATGCATGCTGAATCAATGCAAAATCAAATGACAGGGCATGGGCATTTGTACCTCTTCTCCAAGACTAAGCAAAAGGTCAGTAATGTAGAGGCTGCAAAAAAACAGAACATGCAGCTCCTACTTCCAAAGTGGATGGAGAAGAAAGAAGTAGCAGCATAAACATCCTCAGAACAAGACAAGGCAAACGATGACCACGTGCTAGATGTGAGGCACAGAACCAGAGGCAAGAGAGACAAGGATGGCGGCTGGAACAGAGCTTGACAGCAGGGATCATCCTACTCATCTTCCTGTCAGGACCTGACAGGGCGGTTGCAGAGTTGGTGCTCTGTGAGCGACTGCTGAATTGCACTGAGCAGACAGCCTACCACAGGTAATGCGGGAGATTGGGTGAGATACAGAGACTCTGGGTATAATTTGGTATCCTGGTTTGCAAATATTCCTACTCAGTAAGTTCTTGATCTATGTGTGTTAAGAGATTCTCCTAAATTCAGAGCATTTAAATACAGGCACACACAACAAGATAACGTTTTGGCTAAAATCCATGTCATTTATTTATTCAACAAACAACTGAGCATCTTCTATGTTCTAGGCCATATCCTTGGCACTGTGAATGAAGATAAACCCTGGCCCTCAAGGAGCTCACAGTCTAGTGGGGAAAAAAGACGCATACATAAATAAATATAATGGAGAGGATGCAAAGGGGACCAACTATGGGAGGCAAGCAGCAGGGGAATCTGATCCTGTGGTTAATGTCCACATTACCCATTGGCTAATGGGCATTTTTTTTGGTGAAGAATAGATAAGGCAATGGTTCTCAAAGTATGGCTGGCTAATTATCCACATCAGAATCACCTGGAGCACATATTAAAATTTAGATTCCCAGCACCTTCAGCAAAGATTAAGATTCAGCAGGTTGGGGATTTGGGGCCTGGGAATCTGCATTTCAAGTGCTCTGTGTAATTCTACTGCAACTTAAAGTGCGAGAACCTGTGAGATAAGGTTTGCTTTTTAAACTTGAATGAAGAATGATCTGCACATCTGAAATGCTAATTTGTGTTGGTCTTTAATGAAAGGAAGGGGAAGTAGAGAAGAGGAAGAGAGCAGGCGTTTACTAAGCTCTACTTTAATCTATATTTAAGTTAATTTAATTCTTACAATAATCCTGTGAGGTAGATATTATCCCCATTTTACAGATGAAGAAACAGAATTAGAGAGTTTAAATAATTTGTTCAACATTATAGAGCTAATGAATCCCAACAATGAACCCAGATTCGCTTAACTCTAAAGACTGTCCACTTTCTGTAACACCATCTGGCACCAGGGCACAAATTTACTGATGAATGTTACAATTTTCTTTTAGTTCTTTGCCAGATCTCATCAGGTAAATGTAAAGAACAGCCAGATGATACCTTGATCACGTCCAATGTAACTGACAATGGATACATCCTTCTTTGCTAAGTGGGGATTTAGGGCAAAGCTGGGAGAAACAACAAAATGAGCAACCAGTTCTTCTTTCTTTTCCCATCATTTTCTCATCCTCTGGTGGAGGTGTTATGCAAATGTACCATGGTTAAGAACTGGGTCCATCTGGAGGGAAAAGCAAACGTACTCACGAAAGTAACTCCACCTGACGTCAAAGATTCCTGGGACTCAAAACATTCAGACTCAAGTTTCTCAAAAAATGAACTGTCAGGACCAGAGTTAGGTCCAGAATTTGCATTAGGAAATGGCTCAACCTTCAGAGAAGTTGTGAAAGGCCAGCAGCTTTTCCAGGTTAAACAAACACTATCTCTTTCTACACACAGACTCAGAAGTACAACAAAATAGACACAGCTCAAAAAATAATGGGAAGTGCAATCCCATTTAAAGAGCTTGGGGACAGGCCCAACCTATAAAAATTCTTCTGTAACAAAGAAAACAAACATACACACACAAACTGCAAGTACTGGTCACATTCCCACTCACCATATTCAGTGTCATAACCCAGATCTTGGGCAGAAGCAGCAAAGTGGAGCACGCCAGATGAAGAAAAGGAAAGGTGTAGTACAGGCAGTTGACAGCAATACTGGGGGCCCGTGAGGCCTCGGGTCCAGAAGCCTGGCATGCAACCACCACCATCTTCTCTCACTGAGCTTGGAGACACAACAGTGACACTACAAACCAAACGTGAGTTTTCAGCACTGGAGAGCTCCTTTCTTATTTTTGACGTTTCAAGTAACTGCTGAGTCCAAAGATGAGTTTTGATCAAATCAGCCACAGCACTGACACTATGGACAGCACATAGCTTAGATTTCACTATTTATCATAGCAAAGATTGTAAGTCAGGCTTATTTTATTGCTACATTTTCCCCATATCCAATCTGGGAACATTTGAATCCACCCACATTTTCATATCATACTGGCACGGCTTAGAGTTGTTTAAAACAAACAAACAAACATGCAAATCTGGATTGATCCTCTGCTTGGAAAAGTGTTGATTTATTTACTCTGCACTGATTCACCCCCTCCAAATACATAGCTTCTAATAGGCAGAATTGGAGGAGCAGGTGCCACAAACTATGGCTTAAAAAATATGCAGGCACCATACCTGTGTGTTTAACTATACCTGAAATCTACTGATACTCTAAACCAGCTACATTAAAGGCAACTCTGGGGGCATCTAGATAAAGTCTTAATCCTGATGGCAATATGTGCTTGTTCTGGAGTCTAAATAGGATATTTGTGTTGTGCCTTTGGCCAGCCAAGTGGTACAAGGGAAGAGGATGTAAAGCCTACATCTAACTATAGCAGGTCTTCAAGCTTATTATCCTGTCACAAGTTTATAAAGATAAGGACCTAATCATTTGGGAGCTGTGTAGTCAAAATGGTCAGAATGCAAATGCACTGTTATACTGTGTAAAATCAAGTCAAACATCCTGCAGATCCTTGGCTGTCTCTGGTTATGACCTCAAACACTTAAAAATGAAACCTCAAGTATGCTGGGAGATAATTATCAGAATGTTTGGGTACTTCATTCCTGAATATCAAGTAATAGGGCTCATCTCCATGTTGCTTCTTGCAATAAGAGACTCATTAGAGACTGCTGAGTATAGATGCTGAGCTCCCAAGAGTTCAAGGCGGTGTGTGGGCTCTAGACTATCCAGGGCTGAGCAGACTCTATAAGCCAACCCCTACAGCTCTAAGTCTTATGCTGGTTCTGGGCACATTTCAGTTCTGCACCAAGTCCGCTTTGCTCCAATTCAGCGATGACAGACATATATTTGAACTCATTCGGTCTGAAGTTAAAGGTCTCCACTAAAGCGTAGGTCTCTTTCCGATCGGTGGCATAGAAGAGCTGAACTTGGTTGGCAATGCACTGTGCCTCAGCAACGTTCTGTAAGGGAAAAAGAATAGTGAGGTTCTCCCCTGCACAGGGCCACAAAGCTCTGTGTCTGACTCCTGTGGCGGGTGGGGGCCCTCACCCAGGAGTCACTGCTTCCAGAAAGCTTCCCTGACTCCCTGACATCTCAAGTCTTGGTTGGTTGCCCCTTGTCTGTGTACCCAAATGACCCCATGCTTACCTCTACCATAGTATTTATCATACTGTCTTGTATCTGTCCTTTTTTTCCCTTCTCTCTGCCTTTCCTGGTATGAATTCCTCAAAGTACATGCTTGTTTTATATCCCCGCACATAGTGATATCTGGTGAATGTTTGCTGAATAAAGGAATGCATACGTTCAAAATTCCCTCTTTGCTCAGTTCCTTAGTAACTGTTAAATATATCTTAAGGGGGGAAAAAAGAGCAATGGTTACCTAGCTCCAAGAACCAGTTTGTGAGCACTAAGTTCTTGACTAACCAGACATACTCTTGACTAAAACCTGTTCCTGATACTACCTCAGTCAGAAAACTAGTGCCAAAGCCAGCTGTGTAGTTTTATAATTTGTCCACAAATTCTATGACGCTCATCCCTTTGATGCAGCCTAGTTTCCCTTTCCTTGAGTGCACGCTGTACTTAGTGACTTGCTTCTAACAAATGGACTATGGTGGAATGGTGGAGAAGGACTTCTGCTCTTAAGCCACAAAAGACACTGTAGCTTCTGTCTTGCTATCTCTCTTGAATCACTTGCTCTGGGGAAAGTCAGCTGCCACGCCATGAGGACATTCGAGTAGCCCTACGGAGAAGCCAACGTGGCAAGGAAATGAAGCCTCCTGCGAAGAGCCATGCAAGTGGGGTCAAAGGTGGATCCTCAAGACCAATCAACCTTGAAATGACTGTAGCCCTAGCCAACATCTTGACAGCAACTTCAGAGGGAATCTGAGCCAGAACCACCCAGCTATGCTGCTCCTCAATTCCTGACTCACAGAAACTGTGAGGTAATAAATGTTTGTTGTTTTAAGCCGCTAGGTTTTAGAGTAATTTGCTTTGGAGCTTTTTATAACTGATCCACTAGTAAAGCCACAGGGAAGAGAAGGGGCCCCTTTCTCTAAAGCTCAGTAGTAGAGAAATGGTGACCAAACCACTCTATAACAGAGGGGGGTCAGGACACAGGCAACACTCCCGAAACCTTACAAAAGAATTACCTCAAACAACTCTTACTTTTCTTCCTACACATTCTCTAGTTCTAGCTGGTCAGAGGCACTTATTCATTATCACTATGTTCCTATGGCCAAAACTCAACCCCAAAAGATAATGGAAAATTCCCACTAAAGCTAACTGTCAAAAGTGTGTTATGTCTAGCTACGAATGATGAAAACGGTTTATAAATACCATAGGCTGCTTTACCTCCATTCCCTCCTGTGGGGCTTTCACGTCATTTCTCACAAGCAGGCACTAATCTCTGAGACTGGATCTTCAATCAAAAGCCTTTTTTCCAAAATGCTGGCTATTTTAAATTCATAGACTTTTAGAGCTGGAAGGGGTCTCAGAGATAAGCCAGTCCTCATTTAATAGGCCAGGAAACCAAAGCAGATGAGGTTCAGGGATGGGCCCAAGGTCATGTGGCTAGCAAGTGGCAGAGCCAGGACCAGACCTCTGGACTTCCAGGTTGGTACTCCCTCCATTTAACAATGACACTGTTTCTGGTGGGGCAAGGTAATTTAGATTGACTAAAGCTGGTAACGACTTCATCAATTTCACCTTTCTTATACTCAAACATGCTTCAAGAGCAAACTGTTTCTAAAGCAAGTGCACTGCCATAATCTGAGGCAGACACCATCACTCTCTGAGCCCCTAAACTGTAGGGCCTCTGACAATCAACTTTTATTTCAGGCTTAGGATGGCAAAGGTAGGGGTAATTTTGGCTGTGTTCATTCTAGAACAGTGCTGTTCAAACTGCAGAGTCCTAGGCGCTCTGTGGAGGTGCGTCAGGTCCTTCACCTCTGTCTCAGCTGTTATACCCTGTGGTTTTACATAATAAGATTTTGTTTGGTGGGGCCGGCCCGGTGGCGCTGCGGTCAAGTGTGCACGTTCTGCTTCGGCAGCCTTGGGTTTGCCAGTTCGGATCCCGGGTGCAGACATGGCACCACTTGGTAAGCCATGCTGTGGTAGGCATCCCACATATAAAGTAGAGGAAGATGGGCATGGATGTTAGCTCAAGGCCAGTCTTCCTCAGCAAAAAGAGGAGGATTGGCAGATGTTAGCTCAGGGCTAATCTTCCTCAAAAAAAAAAAAAAAGATTTTGTTTGGATAAAGGGTTCTGACCACTAGTTTGAAGACCACTAGTATAGTGGGTAGGAAGGTAAGACCCAGGGAGATATGGGCATCTGTCTCTTATGGAGGGTTATAGAAGCCCCCCCACTCCCACTTATTCACCCCTGCCTTTTGTTCTCTTAACTCTCAACATGAAGCAGTAGTCTCCTCCCTTTCCAAGACCCAAGAAGATAAACATATTAATTCCCTGCGTTGCTCAATAAGGATGTATAGTAACAAACCCAATTCCTCCCTCTCTTTCAATCTTCATAGCTACAATCAATTCACCAAGTCTTGCCCATTTTACTCCCTATATATTTCTGGGGTCATTCTTTCTCCTCCATCCCTACTACCACTGCTCTAGTTCAGGTCTTCACTATGCCCAGATTATTGCAACTGTCTTCTAAATGATCACCCTGACCAGGCTAGAACTAAAAAATGTTTAGGAAGCAAATAATTAAGGTTAATGGTCTTGAAATCCAACTCTTTATGTATGGGTCACTCCCTTTTCAAAACCTTTTAATGACTCTTTTGTGTCCTCAGAATAAAGCCAAACCTCTAAACGCAATCCACTAAACTTCCTTTTTTATATACCAGTGATACCAAACTGTCTGTAATACCCCAAGTCATTTTATGCCTCCCAGCATTTACTTATGCCATTCCCTCTGTCTGGAACATTCACCTCCCCATGCCCAGTTTCTTTATCTGGCTCAACTCCTGCTCATCTTTGAGGTTCAACCCAGGTGTCTTCCCCAGCACACTGTGCATGTCTATCCTAGCACTTACTGCATTCCAATAAAATCATCTGTTGACACAGACATAGAACCAAATAAGTTTTCTGAATAGTCTACTAAATCTTCAGCATTAAACTTAATTAGTTCAGAAGAAACCTTTAGTTTCCACGTATTTCTATTCATTTGCTTTACTGTATTTGGAAATACCATGCCTAAAACGCAAACTAATGCCTGAGTATGCAGGAGATCACATATTTACATTAAATTTCTAGGTTTCCCATCTGATTCCTGTACCTCCACAATAAATTCTAATATGTCTAGTTCTGTCCTACACTGGAAACTTATAGTCAAGTTGACTTACACAAGGCAAATGTATGTTGTCTGGTATACTGTTGAATGTTATAAGGCCAGGAAGCAAATTTTAATGAGGATGGGGACTGTGCAGCAGTTTGAGACCTCTAGAGTGAGGTGGTAAAAATGCCAAAGCAGAAAGGGTCTCTTCTGATCTCTAGAGTCCACTTTTAATGTGATTAGATGCTGTGCTTTGTTGAAAATCAGAAAATAAAGTACAACCTCTACGTCACTCACTCCTGTGGTCAAATCTTAAACCTTGTCATTATTGGTTAACTATATCCCCTCCAAATTTCAATTTGAAATATCCACATTTTGTCTACTATTTCCTATCTTTTTTTTTTTTTTTTTTGCTGGGAAAGATTTGCCCTGAGTTAACATCTATTGCCAATCTTCCTCTCCTTTTTCCCTCCTGCCCAAAGCTCCCGTACATAGTTGTAGATTCTAGTTGTAAGTTCTTCTACTTCTTCTATGTGAGCCACCACCACAGCATGGCTACTGACAGACTAGTAGTGTAGTTCCACGCCCAGGAACTGAACCTGGGCCACTGAAGCAGAGTGTGCAGAACTTTAACCACTAGGCCATCAGGGCTAGCTCTGCTATTTCCTATTTTTTAGGCTCACTCCCAACTTCAAAAATCCTTTAACTCCACTAGAAGTCACAATTCCTACTGTCTTTAACCTTCCTTATTTTTTTACTTCCTTCTTTATCCAGCTTGCATTCCGTGGTCATTAATTAGAATCATTCCTTTGCATTCACCTTTAAGTTCCTGGTCCTTGTCTTACTTCATTATACCACTTGGCTAAACCATAATCCTGGTTAAATCCAACTGAGTCTCAGCCCTTTCTCTCTGTGCCTGTACCTGCACCTGCATTCTCTCTGCCATTTTCCTAGATTGCAAGTTCACAAACACTTTTTGTAAATGGATACACAGCTAATATTTTAGGCTCTGTGGGCCCTATACTCTCTGTTGCAACTACTCAATTCTCTGTTGTAGAGCAGAAGCAGCCATAGATAATATGTAAATAAGTATGGCTGTGTTCTAATAAAACTCTATTTACAGACACTAAAATTTGAACTTCATATACTTTTCACAGGCCGTGAAATATTCTTCCTCTTTAGTTCCTCACCCCCCACCCCAACCATTTAAAGATGTAGAACACATTCTTAACTCATGGGTCTTCTAAAAACAGTCAGTGGATTGGATTTGGCCCACTGTAGTTTGCTGACTCCTGTCCTAGACAACAATTTCACACTTTCTCTTTTCTACTCAACTGTCCAACATCTATTCTTCCATACTCTCTCAGCTGATCGCCTTTCTTTCTTTTCACTAAGCAATCTGAAGAGAACTTCTACAAGCTGTCACAACCTCTATGCATTTAACTGTATTTGTGTCCTTATATCCTAGCTTCTCTCCTCTTGTTATATTTCTGGCAAAGATCAACCCCTTACTCCCAGACTCACCCACTCAAAACTACTACTTCAACAATTCTCCCCTCTTTCTCCTGCATTATCATTATTTCCCTCTCCACTGGATTTTTCTGTTGGCATACAAATAGAACGTTATTTCTCTCATAACAAAAAACACTCTTGTCCCCACTTCTCCCCCTCCAGCTAATGCCCCATTCTCTCCTTTCCTTCACAGAAACATTCCTTGAAAGATTTATGCTTACTCTTTGCAATTTCTCTTCCCATCTTCTCTTAAATGTACTCCGATCATGCTTTTATCCTACCCCTCCTTTGAAACTGCCCTTATAAAAGTTTTCAATGACTTTAATATTGTGAAATCTAGTAAATTCTCAGTCCTCATCTCATTTGCCCTACCAGCAAGTGAGATTTTGCCCTACCGGAAAGTGAGATTTCCTATTCCTTGAAACATTTTATCTTAGCTTCCAAGGCAGGCTACCATCTTAGTTTTCCTCCTACCTCACTGACTATATCTTTTTAATGTTCTTTGCTGATGCTTCCTCATCTCTCCAGGGCTCAGCTCTTAGACTTCTTCTCTTTTCTATCTTCACTTATTTCCTTGGTGATTTTATTCAGTCTCACGGCTTTAAATAACAATTTGTATGCTGACAATTCCCATATTTATATCTCCAGCCTGGACCTCTCCCCTGAACTCCAGGCTCATATATCTAACTGCCTACTACTTGGATATTTAACAGACATCTCAGATTTAATGTGTCTGAAATTGAGCTCCTAATTTTCCTTCCAAATCTGTTTGTTCCTCCTACAATCTTGTCTATCTCAGTTAATGGCAACTCCATTCTTCTGGATAGGATTTTGGGTGACTTCCAGTTGAGTGTGATGGGTGGAAGGAAGAATGGGAGAAATGGGGCTGAACAGTTTCAGGAATAACAGACAGGGAAGTAGAGTCCCAACTGTGTCCTAGACTTGGGGTTTACTGCTACTGTGAGATACTAGCTGAACGTCATCACTTTTTCATTCCCAATATGCAGCTGGTAAGAAAGAGAGAGAAAATAAGTGGGTGTTGTAAGGAAGAATCTCAAGGGGAAGAGGCACTAAAGTGCCCCCACTATCTTGAGGATATCTTGAACTTAAACCCTGCCAGATGAGGAGACTGAAATGAGCAAGGACTAGACAAACAGGTTGTATAGTAATCATAAAACTGCTCTTGGCCCTGGATACGCAGAGAGAACAAACACAACGGACACCATTACCTATGGACATATGGTCGATGCTCTAGCCCAAGGAATGGGAAAAGGAGGAAGGGAAATCACCATGGATGATGAAAGCTGAACATATGAACAATGTGGAGGAAGATAAAAGATGCATAACTACTGTAGACTTGGAACTCTTCTCTATACTTAAAAAGCCATTTACTCGTCCACAGTCTCTTACCTGAAACCTCTAGGGCCAGATGTGGCTCAGAGTCAGAATTATTGGATTTTAGAAAGGTAATAGTGCAGATACTGTCTGTGTACTATGCATACTCACTATAATCAAACACATAATATTTCCCTAGTAAAATGCATGAATATTCCATACCAAGTCGGATTAATAAGGACTGTAAGTGGCCTCACATCAGTTTAAGTGAAGATCTAGCTACCAAATGAGTTCAAGTCAGATAAGGTTTTGTGATCAATTCAGTTATCAAAAAACTTTGTTGGCCAGCCCCGGTGGCCTAGTGGTTAAGTTCGAGGTGCTCCACTTCAGTGGGCTGGGTTCAGTTCCCAGGCGCAGACCTGCATCACTCGTCTATCAGTGGCCATACTGTGGCGGCGGCTCACAAAGAAAATAGAGGAAGACTGGCAACAGATGTTAGTTGAGGGCGAATCTTCCTCAGCAAAATGCAAAACAAAACAAAAAAACTTTGTTTTCAGAGATTTTGGACTTCAAAATTGTGAATAAGTGATTGAAGATCTGTACTAATTTCAACTTGGAAGAGCCTGAGCAAGACAAAATTATTGTCAACTTTAAGAAACAAGTACATGTAGGCCTCCAGAATTACACCTTTCATGAACTTTGGCAGAAGAATAGCTTCAGGGCCACACAGTAAATCCAAGGAGGTAAAAGTTGATTCTTACCAGAAATGTGGAATCCATTTCTGCTGTCATCAGCACTATGCCCTTCTCTTCCTTAAGTTCAGGGTAGTGATATAAAATCAGCTGGCTGGCTGCAGCTTCCCCTCGGGTCTATAAGAAGGAACACTTATCAAGGCTCAATAAGGTACCATCACAACAAAACCGCAATTTCGGAGCAATAGAGTCTGGAGGAAATTCTGGCCCCTAACAGCCCCTTGGGTGGCTAATGAGTGGGACGACTGGTATGTGGGGGGATGGTCAGGCCTGCCAAGGCATGGTGAAACTGACAGTTTGCACAGTGTTATTTGTGTCTTCAATTGAAAAAGGTTTGGCTTTTTTCCCAGAAAATGTTTACAGTAGGCAGTGAATACTTCATCATGGCCATATATTTAAAAACAAAACGGCACAAGCAGCTACCAAATCAAGTTCTAAAGAAAGCAATGTGCCTGTGTAATTGCCACTTTTATGGACTACTGCATTTCACAGTTGAAATCTACTACCCTTGGCTGGCTCTGAAGACTGAGCTCTTTTAAGCTGTAGCAAACAGCTGGAGAGTTTGCACATGGGCCGGATTTGTAATGTGCAGTTTTAAAATATAATCTTGGTGAGAGGAAGCGGGGAAAGAAGAATGGGAACACCATAATTTCAGGAAAAATGGACAGGGCAGTGGTTACCAGACTTCAGTTCAGACTAGGAAGAGAGGCTAGGTTCAAAGCTAAAGCCCTCATGCAGTGCAGGAGAAAACAACTATACATTCAAAAAAGATCTCTGGGGGGCCGGCCCCATGGCCGAGTGGTTAAATTCGCACGCTCTGCTCCGGCGACCCAGGGTCTCGCTAGTTCAGATCCTGGGCGCAGACATGGCACTGCCCATCAGGCCACGCTGAGGTGGCGTCCTACACAGCACAACCAGAAGGACCACAACTACGAAGTACAACTATGTACTGGGAGGCTTTGGGGAGAAGAAGAAGAAGGAAAAAAAAAATTGGCAACAGGCCGGCTCGGTGGCCAAGTGATTAAGTTCGCACGCTCCGCTGCGGCGGCCCAGGGTTCGGATCCTGGGCGCGGACATGGCACCGCTCATCAGGCCACATTGAGGCGGTGTCCCATATCCCACAACTAGAAGGACCTGCAACTAAGATGTACAACTGTGTACAGGGGGCGTTTGGGGAAATAAAGCAGAAAAAAAAAAAAGATTGGCAACAGTTGTTAGCCCAGGTGCCAATCTTTAAAAAAAATAATAAAATAAAAAATTAAAAAAAAAGAGAAACTCCCTTAAGAGTATTTCTTTAAAAAAAAAAGATCTCTGGGTTTCATCTCTAAAATTTCAGGAATAGTCTTTTTAATTTATCAGTACCTAACTGTTGCGATGGTACTCTTAAAAGTTCAGCCTCTCAGTTCTCCCGAACATACTTCAAATATACTGATCATTTTGATCATAATTAGGTTTCTGGATCTTTTTCCTATACTTGTATGTGAGCTTCACGAGAGCAGAGACCTTGTCTACAAGATCTCCAAGTCCTAGCATAGTTTCCAACACAACAGCACAATGGTTAAGTTCATAGACTTTGGAATCAGTAACTTAGAATCAATCAATCCCAGCTCTACCATTTATTAGCAGTGTGAACGAACTTCTCTGAGCCCACTTTCTTCTCTGTAAATAGAAATAAGAATAGTATCTATCTCCTGGGATATTTGTGAGGATTAAATGATATAATGTATATAAAACATCTGGCACATGGTAAGGACATCAAATATTGGTTATTATACTATGTGTCCCATAAATGATTGTTGGATTAGGGGCCGGCCCCATGGCCGAGTGTTTAAGTTCAAGCACTCTGCTTCGGCAGCCCAAGGTTTGCTGGTTCAGATCCTGGGTGTGGACCTACACACCGCTCATCAAGCCATGTTGTGGTGGCATCTCACATGGAAGAACTAGAATGAACTACAACTAGGATACACAACTATGCACTGGGCTTTGGGGAGAAGAAAAAAAAAAAGGAGGAAGGTTGGCAACAGATGTTAGCTCAGGGCCAATCTTGCTCACCAAAAAAAAGTATACTTAAAAAAAAGTATTGTTGGATGAGTTATAAAATAAAGTGAAAGCTGCCTCCTCATTCTATTTTTTTCCTTCCTTTTTTTTAAACAAATATTTTACAATTTTTGGATACAATCACAAGGAGTATAGTCATGAGCAAACCCTCATTCTATTTTGTACTCTCTTTACTCCAGCTTTAAAGCCATTATAATATATGCTTGTTTTTGCCAGATTTGGCCTCCAAATAAATAATAGCAAGTCTAGTCATGATCTAATTTAAAATACTGACTTATTTTAAAAGTGTCAAATGCTTTGGATTGAATTTCTCAATCTAATATTCTGGAATAAAACAAAGAAAAAGAAAGGAAGGAGAGAAGCAAAAAACCCAACATCTATGGATTGGAAACTATGCATCTAGCACCTTGGAAAGTGCTGACCTGGTTAAAAAGACACAAGACACAGAACTTACCTTAAGGTTAAAAAGATAACCATCATAACTCACCTATGTTTGTTAAGCAAGGCACATGTAGGAAATGTCTGGGGAAGAGATAGGAGAGAGCCAGAAGTACCCTGAGAACATGTTTTGGTGTCTTTTCCAATTTTTAGCTATTGAGTAGGCCTAGAAAGCTAGCCCAACATCAAAACACAATCATTCACAGCAAATACTCCTGGGAGTTGGTAGATATTCTGTGTCCTCAAGCCTCAGCAGGTGCTCGTGTTCCCAAAAGGGGTGGCATCTTTCCTCTAGGGGATGAGCACAAGCCACCTACCTGAATATTTATAAGTGCAGTGAAGTGGAGCTCAGCACCTGTCCACTGTCCTACAAAGAACTCATAGCCTTCCCTTCTCGGCAGTGCACAGAGAAACTGTGGGAAACACACACACAAGGAGACAGATGAATAAATAAAATCATTTGCTCCGTGTTCAACCACCTGGATCATTCACTTCTTCAATGTTTGGTTTTTAAAACATTTTTTAAAATTATGAAATTCCTAGGGATAATATAACAAACATGCATATATTTTGCAACCCATCTAAGAAAGAAAGCGTTAGAGATCCAATTGAAGCTCTCTGTAACCCATTCTAATCCCATTCCAGGGTAACATCTATTCTGCATCTTGTGTCTGTCATTCTCCCTCAGGTTTTTATATACTTTTAATGTATGGTATGTGTATATCCATAAACAAGAAACAGTACTGTTTGCATGTTTAAAAACTTAAATCTTATCAAACTATATGTATACTTTTACAACTTGCTTTTTTCACTTCACAGTATACTTCTGAGATTTATCCATGTTGATAAATATAACTCCAATTCAGTAATTTTCACTGTTGTATGGAATTCTACTACAGAAATTTACCATAATTTATCTATTCCTCTATTGATGAACATTTGGGTCTTTTTCAATTTCTAAACTTTGTAATGCTGCTGAATTAACTTTTGTTCCAATTATTGTAATCACTTCATATTCTCTCATCTGAGGCTGATACTGGAATATGGCTCCAAACACAAGAAATGATGAATTTTATGCTTGAGGTGTTTAGAATTGGGGATGAGTGTGGAGAAGAGAATGGTGCCAGAACAAAATGAAGTATAATCAGACCAATATGCATTAGTCATGGAGTCGTATCCTTCTTGCCAACCACTCAGGCTCTGTTTTACTATTATTAGATGAGATAACTTCAGTGACTATCTAATAGCTGATCCATTGTTAGGGAAAAAATTTTTCTTTAGAGCTTTATTGAGGTATACTTGAAGTAAAGTAAGTTGCACATATTTAAAGTGTACAATTATATGAGTTTTGACATTTGTATACTGTGAAACTATTACCACAATCAACATAATGAACATATCGATCATCTCCAAAAATTTCTCCAAAAAGTCTGTTTGTAATTCACACCTCTCTCTCCCCAACTGTCCCTAAGCAACTACTGATTTGATTTTTGTCATTATCAGCCAGTCTGCATTTTCTAGGATTTTGTATAAATGGAACCATAAAATCGTACTTTTTGCGTTGGCTTCTTTCAGTCAGCATAATTGTTTTATGATCTATCCACCTTACCGCATATATCAAGAGTTCATTTCTTCTTATTGCTGAATATTATTCCACTGTATATGTACACACATACACAGTTTCTTTATTCACTTACCTGTGATAGGTCTGGATATTTTTCAGTATTTGGATATTACAAATAAAGCTGTTATGAACGTTTGTGTACAAGGCATTGTATGGACACATGCTTTCAGGTCTCTTGGGAAAATATCTAGAAGTAGAATGGCTGGGTAGTATGGCAGGTATATGCTTAACTTGTAAAGAAACTGCCAGACTGTTTTCTAGTGGTTGTACTATTTCCCATTATTACCAGCAGTATATCAGAGTTCTAGTCGCTCCATATCCTCACCAATACTTGGTATGGTCAGTCTTTTAAATTTGAGTCGTTCTAGTGGTATCTCACTGTGGTTTTAATTTGCATTCCCATTATGACTAATGATGTCGAGCAACTTTTCAGGTACTTATCTGCCATTCCACCTTGTTGGTGTATTGTCTGAATCTTTTGCCATTTTTTTGGGTGTGTTTTTTTTAATTCATGTCATAATAGTTTATAATACTGTGAAATTTCAGTTGTACATTATTATTTGTCAGCCACCATATATATGTGCCCCTTTAGCCACTATGTCCAGCTCCCAACCCCTTTTCCCTCTGGTAACCACTCATCTGTTCTCTTTGTCCATGTGTTTGCTTACCTTCCAAATATGAGTGAAATCATATGGTGTTTGTCTTTCTCTGTCTGGCTTATCTCACTTAACATAATACCCTCACTTTCTATCCATGTTGCTGTGAATGGGACAGTTTTTCTTTTTTTATGGCTGAGTAAATATTCCATTGTATACACACACACACACACACACACACACACATATCTATACACACACACCACTCTTCTTTATCCATTCATCAGTCAGTGGGCACTTGGGTTGCTTCCACATCTTGGCTATTGCAAGTAATGCTGCAATGAACATACGGGCGCATAAGTCTCTTTGAATTGTTGATTTCAAGTTCTTTGGAGAAATACCCAGTAGTGGGATAGCTGGGTTGTATGGTATTTCAATTTTTAGTTTTTTGAGAAGTCTCCATACTGTTTTCCATAGTGGTTGTACCAGTTTGCATTCCCACCAGCAGTGTATGAGGGTTTCCTTTTCTCCACATCCTCCAACATTTGTTGTTTTTTGTCTTGATAATTATAGCCATTCTAACAGGTATAAGGTGATATCTCGTTGTAGTTTTGATTTGCATTTCCCTGATGATTAGGGAGGTTGAACATCTTTTCATGCCTCTGTTGGCCATCTGTATATCTTCTTTGAAAAAATGTCTGGGGGCTGGCCACGTGGCATAGCGGTTAAGTTCTTAGGCTCTGCTTTGGTGGCTCAGGGTTCACCAGTCCAGATCCTGGGTGTGGACCTTGATAAGCACCACTTATCAAGCCATGCTATGGCAGGCCTCCCACATATAAAATAGAGGAAGATGGGCACGGATGTTAGCTCAGGGCCAATCTCCCTCAGCAAAAAGAGGAGGATTGGCAGCGGATGTTAGCTCAGGGCTAATCTTTCTCAAAAAGAAAAGAAAAGAAAAATGTCTGTTCATATCCTCTGCCCATTTTTTGATCAGGTTGTTTGTTTTTAGTTGTTGCGTTGTATGAGTTCTTTATATATTTTGGAGATTAACCCCTCATCGGATACATGATTTGCAAATATTTTCTCCCAGTTGGTGGGCTGTCTTTTCATTTTGTTCATGGTTTCCTTTGCATTGCAGAAGCGCTTTAGTCTGATGAAGTCTCGTTTGTTTATTTTTTCTTTTGTTTCCCTTGCCTGAGCAGATATGATATTTGAAAAGACCCTTTTAAGATTGATGTCAGAGTGTATTGCCTATATTTTCTTCTAGAAGTTTCATGGTTTCACGTCTTACCTTCAAGTCCTTGATCCATTTTGCGTTTATTTTTGTGTATGGCATAAGACAATGGTCTACTTTCATTCGTTTGCATGTGGCTGTCCAGTTTTCCCAACGCCATTTATTGAAGAGACTTTCCTTTCTCCGTTGTATGTTCTTAGCTCCCTGTCGAAGATTAGCTGTCTGTATATGTGTGGTTTTATTTCTGGGCTTTCAATTCTGTTCCATTGACCTGTGTGTCTGTTTTTGTAGCAGTACCATGCTGTTTTGATTACTATAGCTTTTTAGTATATTTTGAAGTCAGGGATTATGATGCCTCAAGCTTTGTTTCTTTTTCTCAGGATTGCTTCAGCTATTTAGGGTATTTTGTTACCCCATGTGAATCTTAGGATTCTTTGTTCTATTTCCGTGGAGAATGTCATTGAGATTCTGATTGGGAGTGCAATGAATCTGTAGATTGCTTTAGGTAGTATGGACATTTTAACTATGTTTATTCTTCCAATCCATGTGCATGGAATATCTTTCCATTTCTTTATGTCATCGTCGATTTCTTTCAATAATATAGTTTTCATTGTATAGGTCTTTCACCTCCTTGGTTAAATTTATTCCTAGATATTTTATTCCTTTTTTTTTTTCTTTAGGAAGATTAGCCCTGAGCTAACATCTGCCAATCCTCCTCTTTTTGCTGAGGAAGACTGGCCCTGAGCTAACATCCATGCCCATCTTCCTCTACTTTATATGTGGCATGCCTACCCCAGCATGGCATGCCAAGCGGTGCCATGTCCGCACCCGGGATCCGAACCGGCAAATCCCAGGCCACCAAAGCGGAACATGTGCACTTGACCGCTGCACCACCAGGCCGGCCCCAAGATATTTTATTCCTTTTGTTACAACTGTAAATGGGATTGTATTCTTGAGTTGTCTGTTAGTTCATTATTAAAGTATAGATATGCAACTGATTTTTCTAAGTTGATTTTGTACCCTGCAACTTTGCTGTAGTTGTTGATTATTTCTAATAGTTTTCTCATGAATTCTTTAGGGTTTTCTATATATAAAATCATATCGTCTGCAAACAGTGAGAGTTTCACTTCCTCCTTGCCAATGTGGATACCTCTTCTTTTTCTTGCTTAATTGCTCTGGCCAAAACTTCCAGTACTATGCTGAATAAGAGTGGTGAGAGAGGTTTTGCCCAGGTAGCTTGTCCTCTCACTATTAAGTTGTAAGAGCTTTTAATGTCTTCCAGATACAAGTCAGTTGTCAATATATGTCTTGCAAATATCTTTGCCCACTCTGTGCCTTGTTTTTTCATTTTCATAACAATGTCTTTTGAAAAGTAGAACATTTTAATTTTTTTTATCGTGGTAAAATATACATAACATAAAAGTTACCAATTTAACTATTAAGTGTACAATTCAGTGGCATTAAGTACATTAATGCCTTCCATCTCCAGAATTTTTTTCATCTTCCCAAACTGAAACTCCATACCCATTAAACAGTAACTCCCTGCCCCCCTTCCTCCCAGCCCCTAGCAACCACCATTCTACTTTCTGTCTATAAATTTGACTACTCTAGTACTTCATATAAATGGAATCATACAGTATTTGTCTTTTTGTGATATATTTTTGTTTTGTGTATATTTATATTCCATTTAGCCTAATGTCTACAAGGTTCATCCATGCTGTAGCATGTGTCAGAATTTCCTTCCTTTTTAAGGCTGAGTAATATTCTGTGTATTTATTTATACCCCCTTTTGTTTATCCATTAATCTATCAATGGACACTTGGATTGGTTCCAACTTTTGGCTATTGTGGCTAATAGTACTATGAACATGGGTATACAAATAGAAAAATTAAACTTTAATGAAATCTAATTTATTGATTTTTTTCTTTTATAGTTTGTGCTGTTTGTGACATACTTAAATCTTTGCCAAGCCCAAGATCACTAAGATTCAATCTAAGATTGTTTTTTCTAGAAGTTATATTTACATCTATGATCTGTTTTGAGTTAACTTTTGGATCTAGGGTGAGTAAGAATAGAGGTTCATCTTTTTCCTTATAGATATCCAATTGTTTTGCACTATTTGTTAGAAAGATTATCCTTTTCCCATTTAATTACCTCATCATCTTTGCTGAAAAACAACTGACCACACATATGTTGGTCTATTTCTGGATTCTCTATTCTGTTCCATTGATCTATATGTTTATCCTTATGCCAATACCACAGTGTCTTCATCACTGTAGCTTTATGATAAGTCTTGAAATCAGGTCACGTAAGTTTTCTAACTTGGTTCTTTTTCAAAATTGTTTTGTCATTCTAGGTCCTTTGGATGTCCAAATAAATTTGTATAATCAGCTTGTCATTTCTTTAAAAAATTATTTATTGGGATTATATTCAATACGGAGATCAACCGGGGAGAAATGACAATAATATTGAGTCATCCAATCCATGAACATGATATATCCCTCCATTTACTTTTATTTTCTCTCAGTAATGTTTGTAAATTGTTTTTGAGAATTCTAGAAATTATTACTGACATCAAGTCAGCTGGTCTACCTCACCTATTCCCTTTTCTTCAGGTCTTCTGGCAACTTATTACTCTAGTGACAATCTCATAATTCCTTTTAAGCACATACAATCAGGATAGCACGGCCAAAACTGTAAAGAAAACTGACAATAAGACAGAAACTTAAAGAAGGTTGAAAATATTAAGGTCTCAGGTGCTGCATCCAACGTTCACTTATATTGATAGATTAAGATCCAGATCAGAAAGGGCTGAGATGGGTCAGAGAGCCAAAAAGGCAGAGACATACTGGGCCAAACCCATGTGATTTCATAAGGCTGAAAGTCTCACGTATCAATACAATCAACATATGAGCATCTTTGTTAAATAAACAGAGCACTATAACATGTGAGACAGTATGAAGCATGAAGAGGTTGGTTAGAAAACATCCTTGTTTGGCAGCATTGATAAGCAATCCTCATGGTCAACAGAAACTTACTGTTGGACAGGACTGAGCCCGGTTCCAGATCAAATCAAACTTCTCTTCCTGTAGGTTGGAAAAGAATAAAATTCACAAACAGGAAAACATAAAAGGCCAGAGTCACATTTAAATTCACCAGTACTGCACTCTAGAACTAAAATACCACTAAAACAATCTCTTAAGTTCCATCATTTACAAATCGCTCTTACGACAGAGAGGAAAAACCAAGATGTATGCTTTGCTGTTCAATGTCAGAATTACATCTCAAGAGTGGATACTCCAAATATTCCAAACTCTCCAGGGGATTCTGACAAATGTCAGAGATGTCAGGTCACTAAGTCTGTCTGAGGAAGAGCTAACAAGGCCTGTCTAAACAATGAATCAGTATGAGAGAGCTAAAATATCAAGAAAAGTGCAGATCCTTTTGGCTGTTGAACTCCTGCAGGGCAAGGGCATATACGTATAAGAGGCAGAAAACCCAACTCTCACAACAACCAAAGGGCCTGGCTTTATTTTTCTGTCTGTAAGTTTTCCCCCTTAATCTTACACTTACACATGTAAGCTCAGTATAATATGTATATATTTATCTATTTGCTTGATAAAAACTTAACCTAAGCTCCTTCCTCTTCAGGGAAGAAGAAGAACAATTAAAGAACTAGCTGATAACCCAGTACAGTACTTCAAATGCTTTCTTATGATAAAAGCCAATAGGACATTAAACCAAAAGAAGACAGCAACACCCGTTCCTAGTCACAGATCTCAATGGTCAAGCAGTGGCCAGTAACTATTTCCAAGACAGCAATTTCGAGAAAGGGAAAAAAACTAAGAAAATGCCACTTGCTAAAGGGAAATGCCAGAAAAAGACTAGGAGGAGGTTCCAAGTAAGCTCAGGTATAGGTCACTTAAGACAAGAAGGGAAGAAAGCCATGCTAGAGGTCCTGTCTTAAATTCCAATAGCTCGGTTGGAAAACAGCAAAAAGAAATAAAAGACTTGGAAATTGGAAGCTTGGAAATTGCTCAACATGAACTTATACCAGGCTCCCTTGTCAGAGACTTGACTCAAAGAGACATTTCTAAACCAGAGAAAGGAAAAACAAGAGCTATAAATATACCATATGGAGCTCCCAATCTTTGGTGTTTAGGGCATAATAAAAAACCTCAGAGCTATAAAGGCAAGTTCTCAAGAGGCAATAAATGTAGGAAAAGTAAAGGCAACTGCCTGCTAAGGTTAGAGACCTGACCTTCATGCTATAACACTTTCATTTTTCCCTCCAAACTACTTACAGGAATAACTGCGTAGACTGTATCTTTTGCTGCAAAATACTGCTGCCAAATCTGTACAAAAAAGAGAGAGTGTCTGTGACATGTGGGTAATCTTTTCAATCTGCGCCACGAAATGGTGACAGCTTTCATTGCTCAGAGTAATATGCTATTTGATAACAGGGAGGAAAACCCAATGTAATGCTTTTATTACTGGTACATGATTACAAAAAAGATTTAATACCATCTACTCTTCTAGATGATTAAACTGTAACTCTTAATAACAAATTCCTGTCAGAGAAATGGACTCTATGACCTTATTAATCATTTCTCTTAAGAAGTGCCTTGGGTGTAACAGACAAGCTCTTTTTTTCATATCTTCTCTCTTCCCTCCCAAAACTCATACTCCCCAGCACATGTGGGCATTCTCAGAGAGCCAGGATATCAGTCATTCAGAACCCAGGGTGTGGAGTCAGGGGGACCTAGATGCAAATCCCAGGTCTAATCATTTGCTGGCTATGCTACTTTGGGCAAATTACTGAAAATCACTAAATAACATCAATATAATCATCAATAAAATAGCAATAATATCAACCTCACAGGACTGCTGTGAAGACTAGGTGAAATAATGTAGGTTTGTGCTTAGCACAACAGAATTACAATGCAAACCAGAGCCCAGGTGTTCTGAGGGCAACAAAGAGGCACTTAACCCAAGTAAGGGAACAAGTGCCAGAGGAAGGGACACTGGAGCTATATCCTAAAGAATGATCAAGAGTCAAACAGGTGAATGGGGATGCTGGGGAGATAAACAGATAGAAGATAAGAGATGTATTCTAAGCAGAGAACAGCATTAGCAGAGCCACAGAAGTTGGGACAGGCATCATAGCCAAGGCAACACCTGAGTGAGCTGGTGTTAAACAACGGGTCACCCTCCTTTAGAGTTGCTCTGCTTTGTCAACATCCCCATTAAAATGGGGGGCCCTAACTGGAGACATTAATCAAAGTGTGATCTAACCAACACAGAACACAGAAGGACTGTTATCTCCTAAGACCCGGGCAAATCACTCTACCAATGCAGCCTGAGGCTGCTTTTTTTTTTTCCCGCATGTTAAAACACTGTCCTCTCATTTTAAGGAGAGCATATCCTGCTTATTTTTATTTAATTTATATTAGTAGATAGTTTATGAATCAACAATGAATATGAGACTCATGGATGTTTCCTAACATAGTTGACCTTGGTTACTCAAAATTATTTTAACGAACAAATTTTTATTAAAATTATAGGTCTGAATGGTATCTGTCATGTGATCAGCCCTCCTGGGCTGGCTTCCCCCTCCCCTAAAGGACATGCTTGGTGTCTACTTTCCACTGGCAACTCTTCCCAAAGGCACAGTTGAGGTCTCCCCGAGACTTTGCATGAGCCTCTATTAACAGAAGTTAGAACCCTGTGTTGTCCTTATTTGTCTTTGTGTCTGTCCTTCCACTGGGCTAAAAACCCCTTGAGAGTAGGGAGTTCTCTCACTTGTTTCCATGTCTGGCACAGAGCCTGACATTTAATAGGTATTCAACAAATGCTTGCTGAAATGAAATGAATGATAAAGCACCCAAAGGAAACCCATGGCAACTGGCACAACTTCTCGTAAGGGAGTATGACGCAGAGTCAAACAGATAGAGGTTGAGTCCCAGCTCTACCACTGACTAAGTTACTTAATCTCTTTAAGTTACAGTTTCCTCAGTTGTAAATTGGGAATAACAGCACTTACTTTACAAGATGACTATTAGAATTTAATGAAATAGTGCATATGAAGAACTAAGTCAGTTCCTAACACACAGTACACTGCTTTTATTATATTCTGATTCTCTCAATCTACCTAAAATGTAATTCATGGATCTATAAGGGATGCCAATAAATAGCTTTCTATAGCATAATTAGAGAAAAGATTCATAGACATGAAAATTTAAATAGCAATGCAAAGCAAGGCACATGGAATGACCAAACAGGCAGGATAGATCATGAATGCTCTGAAGGAAGGTGTCCAGGAAGCTTCCTGCAGGAGGTCCTATAATAATGGAGGACTCTGAATGCCCGGTAAAGGAATATGGGAAGTCAATGAACATTTGTGAGCAGGTTACTTACATAATATTTATTTTTATTCATTTATTTAAAAACACAAATATAGCACTTACTCTGTGCCAGGCACTGTTCTAAGTACTTTACAAATATTGTTTAATTCCCCAAATAACTCTATGAGGTAAGTACTATTATCTCCACGTTATAGATGTGGAAACTAAGGCCCAGAGAGGTTAACTAACTTATCAAAGTCATACAGCTCATAAGTGGCAGAGCTAGGACTTAAAGCAGGCAGCTTGGTTCTGGAGTTTGTGTTCTTAACCAACACACTATGCCTCTCCATAATGAAAAGAGAACTTTAAGAGAACTCAACTGGTGAGGCTATGATAGGGGGAGTGGGAGAAATGAGAGCAGGGAACCCTATCTAGAAAGGTAGTGCAGTAATCCAGGTATAGAGTAGTGACAATTTCAAATAAGGTATGGGCAATAGGAATGAAAAAAAAAGGGGACATTTGAGTTGATGAGACATACAGGAGTGAGACCAAGAAAGACAAGTTTTCTTATGCCACTGTTTTTCACATAATTCATCACTTTTGCTTTCTCTTTCTAGAAAGAGGCATCAGGAAAATGTATGCTCCTTTCTATTTTCAGATTTGGTTCACAGGGCACACGCTTTCATGAAGTATGCCAATCTGTTTTCATTCATTACCTGTTTTATTTCTTCTGCAGTTTTGTCTTTCACCATCTCAATGTTAAAGATTGAACTGAGAGTCTGAAAGAGAAAATAACAGGCAATTAACACCCACAAAAATAAAACAGCTTAACTCTATCTCTAAGCCTTGTGGGAAGGAATATGTCAGGACAGTGAAGCATATCTTTAATAAGCAGAGAACAAGTATAAAAAAACCCAAATGCTCAGAGAAGGCAGCTGCCAAGCCCAGGCAGGGTTTCACCATCCTATTCCCAGGGAGTATCTAAGGGACTTCCCAAATGCTTCATCCTCATTAATGAGCACTGGTAAGAGGAGAAAGTTGGGTTGTTACCTTTAATTTAACTGCTATTCTACCAGGGGTGGCTTCTTATTTGCAAAGTAAACATGTTTTTATTTGATTTTTTGAACACTTCTTCCTATAGAAAGGAAGGGTATCACTATATTTCCTTCGTATTTCCTCTAGCCCCGCCAGGACCCATTCTATGCTAGGGGTCATATCAAGGACACAAAAATTCATAGAACTATTTCTTATCTCCACAGTTGGAAAATCACAGAATCACTGAACCACAGTAAATACGTTCAAATTTGCAGCTTCTTGTTATAGATGTTCCATATGACTTCAGACTTGTATGTTGAACGGAAACCTACCTTGTCCTTAGTGAATCCTCTTCTCAGAGGCTGTTTCCCCAAGGTGTCTGTCTGGAATACATGATAAGACAAGATATTAATCTACACTTTACTCATAAGAAAAAGACCACCAAGCTAGGTGCGATGCCCAATGTCTCATTTAGTAATTTTGTAACTGAGAATTCACTTCTCGCTACTCTTTATAGTAACTATACACACTGTTAAGAGTTATTGTTTGTGAGACCTTTCTTTGACTAAGATTCTGAGATACGGAGATAAGAAAGGACTTCTTTGTTAGCAATCACCAATTACTAGTCCTGAGTCCATTCTATACCTGACACTATGGATATGAGGGGCTCCTTCCCAGAATGAGGCCTGCTTGGGCTTCCTGTGCTCTTCCCTCTGAGCTGCTCCACAGTAAGCCACAGGGGAGGTGAGAAATGGAAAGACGTATTTCCCCAGGCTGCTTCTTATCTGTGACAGCACTTGTGATGGCAGACATCCTCAACAGACCACAGAGTCTTTTCAAATACTTGGTCTTAACATTCCCTCCATCAAATTAGACTCCTCTTCAAAAAAGGTCAAGAATAAGTGAAAGTGATTATTTTCTCTCCTAGCCCACTATCTCTCATAAAGGCCACAGTCAGGAAATCCTGTTTCGAGTTGTTTCTGATAATAGGGAAGGGTTGTTCTGAGTCTTCCACTCAATTTCTTAGCTCAAGACCAAGCCTTTCAGAGAGAAGGAGTACAATCGACATCTGGGATTCTGAAGCTGAAAACACTTTCTGTATAAAACTCTGCCTTTTGTTATTCTGTGCTTTAATGTATCCAAATCTTTCATAAATGATGCCCCTAGAATTCATACCCACAAGTTAGACAAAAGCCTGGTGTAGAAAAACCTACTGGATACACTCTGGTCTTCTTGGTCATACTCCTACACATTGGGCGCATCCTAACGCAGTCTTTCCTTCATATATAAACAGTCCAGAAAAGAAAAACTTGATTTCATTTTCATACCACTCACCTTCAGATGTATTGTGAAAATAAAACAAACAAAATCCTCCATTCATGCAGCTGCCATCACCTTTCAATCACTAAGCCCAGTGTATTCTTTTCCCACAATGTCCCTCCAATCCATTCTTTGTTTCTGTTTTCACTCAGAGAAATAAAAAATTTAAGCTCTAAATAAAAGCTTATTGCATTTAATCTAATTTAAGACACTACTGATCTTAAGAAATACCATTATTTTATGTATCAGAAAATGATGCCAATTAATAACATAATACTTTCCTATCACATCAATTTTACGACAATTTTGGAGATGTTAAAATGTAAAAAAAAAAAAATGTGGGCTTTAGAACCAATGAAATAAAGTAATTAAAATTATAGTTGAAACTATGTGCCAAGTCTCAAGAGCATTTCATAAAAAATTTAAATGGGTACTTCACTACTCTCCTACAGATGCGTTGGAAATCTGTGGGGAAGACTTTTTTGTTATCACAATAATTGGATGGTGACACCTCCATTTATGGGAGTAGCAGTGGTGCCAAATGAGCTGCAATTTTGCAGATGTGTTCCATATAATGAAGAATTTTCCTTCATCCTGCACAACTTTTCAATGTCTAGCCAGACATCCTTATAGGTGAAAAACCTTTTTATAATTACTTGGGCCTAGAAACTAACTGTTTTTCTTTCTTTCTTTTTCAACAGAGTTTTAATAAACACTGAATTTTTCAGAAATGTAACTACAACATGACTTGAGAGAAGACTGTACGTTGCGGAGTCTCACGAGGGTCACTGATAACAACACTGCTGATGGTTTGGGAGTTTTTACAACTATCAACACGACACCTGTGTACCAGGCAGCATCTGCTGCTTTTGTATTCATGGTGATTTCACAGGTAGGGGAAAGCATCTGAGACTGTATAAGGTCTCACAGCATAGTGTGCCCTAGAATTTACATACTAAAATACGTATTTTATAAAAAAATACTTTCCTCTATATTACATTAGGGCATTATATTGACTTTTTTCCTCCTGAAATTATGTGTGTAGGTGGGTTATACTGTCTACATTTCATTTCAGGGTAGAAAAGGTGTAATTAAAATTTATTATAAAAAGGGCATGTCGGGTCTCATGCGGTAGGGAACCAATGACTCAAAGAAAAGAGAAGGCTTTGGGAATGGAGTCATTAGCCATTAGCCTTCCTCTATCTAGCTACACAAGACAGACAGTAAGTGAATATTTACACAAGTGTTGCCATAATTTAAATTAAATCTTCACTTATTCTGCATCTTGTCATCATAAAGTTGAATTTCTAAGTCTGTTTACAAAAAGGGGCAAAGAGATTTCCCATGTAATACTGAAAGTTTACAATACAGTAATATTTCGAAAAGCTATTGACTTGTAACCTTGACACTATAAATGTTTATTATAGGAAATTGCATTTGTTAAAATATTTGTAGTAGAGAGTTGTTTGGTCACATAAAGTTGTAAACTATGTTTGTCACAGGAGGTTGAATTTGCTCCCCAACCTTGTGACGATCAGTGCATTGACTATTGGTCTTGTTCTAATTAACTCAACCAGTTATGAAAAGACTGAGTGGATTCTCTTAAAATTTAGGATACTCAGGGCAAAAAAAATTATTTCCCAAGTATAAAATAAACATCTCTCATTTTAAAACACAATGTAGAATGCCAATTTTCCACTGTAACTACCTTATTTCAGGACCATGCAGCCCACACGTGGATTACTGCATATTCTCCCTGATTTCAGCCTCTCCCACTCCAATTTGTTCTGTGTACCACCCTAGATTAGTATTTCTAAAATCATAGGTTATGAAATCAATTTAGTGGATTGTGGCTGAGGTTTTTTAAAAGACGAAAAATAGTAAGTGTGCACTGCATGTAGTAAAAATAAGCATTGTTTTGCAAAAATTTTGTTTCGGTTAAATCATACACATATGTATGAACTAAACTGCAATGTAAAATCTATTTCTTAATGTGGGCCGTTGTCACAAAGTTTGAAAAGCACTGCATTAGATAAGTTTTCCTATATGCAGCTTTCAACATGCTTCTCCCCAGCTTTGATTCTTGTTTAAGGATAGTAATAGCTATTGAGCACTTTTCTGGCCCCCTGATCTCTACAGCCCACCGCCATGTGTGTCTTGCTCTGACCACCTGACTGCACCTCCTGGGAGCAGGTACTACTCTTTTCATCCCTCTCTATCTCCACTATGACCACAGTACCTTGCCAGACGGAGCAGGATACCATTAATGGGTGGAGACTGAACTGAACAGAGAGAGGCTATGCTCAGTTCATCCAGCTGACCCATCAATCAGCCCACTCCCAGGATAAGGGTTAGTTGAGGGGCTCTAGAGCACTGGTGAGCCAAGGGGCAGGTCTTACCTTCTGTTCCACACATTTGATAAAGTCACCTTGCCTGGAGTGCCCCACTGGCTGCTTTCGAAACTCAATGCGCTTCTCCAGTCGGGACTCAAAAACAGCTGGGTCAGACCTGCTCAAAGGTAAACCAGAAATTAAACCACCTGGGAATTTTTGGATTTGGAAATAACAAAGCATCATGTTTCACTTCGAGAGAGAGGACACAGGCATTTAGAGGCTGAAGGATTCGCTTAGTTCATCAGGCCTGAGCACAGGCCTAGAAATCAAGAAAGTGGAAAAAGAAATTCAGTTATTCCACTATTGTTAAACCTCAAGGGCCTGTGTAGTATCTTTCTCCTGCAGGACATTCCTTAGAGGTGACAAAGAGCTTGGTCCCTCAGGCACTTACACTCTGGGTACTTGGAATTCAAATCCTCAAGATGGGAAGGGGACTTTGAGGTCATCTTCCTGAGTCACTTCCTCTGGCAGGAATCCAACAGCATTCCTACTAGGTATTAAGCTTTTACTTGAACACATCTAATTCTTGGACATCTTCTTCTCCCCGGACCCAGGCAGAACATGTGTTTATTCAGATGCAGGTGATTCAGAGGCTTCAGGCAGCTTATTTTGTAGAAGATTTAGCACCTGAATAGCTCCCTAACCCTCTCTCCAAAGAATCTGCTCCTGCAGATGGAACATCAGAACTTGTCCTTTATGTCAAAATGGGCTGGTCTTCGGGCCTGAAGTCCAGGTTGGGGCTGCTGCCCTTGTTAAGAATTCTTCCGGCTGTGTAGCTGGCAATGCAATATTTGTCTCTGTACACTTTGGTGAAGACATTATACAGGGACTCCAGCTCCTCAGCGAAGAAGCCTGTTGTGTCACAAGTGAGGTGTGCAGGATCCAAGGACATCTTGGTCACCTCTCTGCTTGAGTCCTTTCTGGTCAAGGCTCTGTAGGGGCCCCTTTTCCATAAAACTCCTTTCCGGAGGTGACATCAAACACTACTCCCTTCACTGCCACATATGTGAACAGATCTTTTCTTCCCCTCCATAGCAGGCCAGCTCCTCAGTACAGAGTTGCTCCAGGAGTCCTGCTTGGTGGAGTGTGGCACCTGCCCAGCCAGGGCTGCTAGCGCCAGGACCAGGGTCAGTGCTGCCAATGTTTACAGCCACACCTGGGCCTGTCATGGAGACTGGACAGAGAGAGCGAGGGGCGGCCTGGGCAGTGGAGTCTGTGCATTCTCACCTTGGACATCTTTTATTATTAAAATTCTCTGAGCTTAAATTTATCCCTTTGTATCTTTCACCCTCAGGAACAAGAGAAAATGTCTAATTCCTTTTATACGAGCACCTGAAAATCATTATTAAGTCACCCCCTAGATTTCTCTTCTCTAGGTTAAATTTCCTTAGTTTTCTTGGCTCCTTTCCATATATGTGATTGGTGACTCTTTCCTCACTGCGCACCTGCTCTCTGCACACTCTCGTTTGTCCACACTCTAGATAGAGTGGGCCTGAAACTAGCTCAAATCCTCCCAACCCACCAACACAATGTACACTTTGGTGAAGACATTATACAGGGACTCCAGCTCCTTGGTGATGAGAGGTGATGCAAAACCCCAGACACTGGACTGGAATGGGGTCAGCAGCGGACAGAGCCTTGTCCTGCTGTTGGTTCACACCGAACTTGCTGCCGGTGCTCAAGAGCTCAGCTTTTAGTGCGTATGCCCCAGCAGGAACCAATCAGGACTGTAATGCCTTTAAAAATATCTCATGATAACCTACCTGTTTGGTCCTGGGCCCGAAGTCCAGGCCCTGTTTTGCATCTTCCCCTAACTGACCCTTTTTTGGTCCTGCTTTCGAATCTCCCTTTTCATCTACCTCAACCTCATGCTCTTTTCTTTTTTTGTATCCACACAGCTTTCCCTCTCACCTCCCCAACTCTTCTCTCACTCAGCTTCTTCTAGGACTTACCCTTTCCCTTCTCCTTTTCATTCATTTAGCAAACTTTTCTTGCTGTCTCCTGCCTGATGGCTACCTTGCTGGACTCTGGGGATACAAAAGTAAACAAGCCAGAGGGCCTACCTCAAGGAGCTTACTATCTAGTGGGAGGGACAGACATGTAAATAAGTACATTAAAGGGCTACAGGGATGATCATGAAAATTTGCTCAAACATTCCCAAATGGTTGAGGTGGTTTCATGCCTCTGTACCTTGGCTGCTGCTGCTGCTGCTGCCCCTATCTGGAACATCCTCCCTCAACCCAAGAAAGTTCTGGTAATAGGCAAAGCTAGAGAAGCAAGACTCAACGCCTGTGTGGAACACTATGGAATATGGACATTATCCAGAGGTCAGTGGGGTGCCTTGGAAAGCTCACTCTTCAGGAGGTAGCAGCATGTGTAAATGCTGATAGGAATGATCTAGAAGGGAAGGAGAGTAAAACCAGTCACTCATTTGCTCATGAGTAAGGATGAATGGCAGCTGTCAAGTATTCAGAAGATGAGTAGACAACTCTGAGATGCTTGTCTGTGAAAGGGATCAACGAGAAAAGCCTGAAGAGGGATGAAGGCCAAGGAAAGGTTTTTAAGATGACAAATACTCAAGTATATCTGAATGCAGTTGGAAGGAGAGCAAAAATAGTCATTCATTTATTCTGTTATTCTTTCAAAAAGAGACGAAAGATCACTATAGTAGCAGTGGGATGATTGTGGGTGGAGGGGTCCAAGACCGGAAGTGGGAAGACTAGCTGGAGGACCACAGGAGTCCAGGCAAAGCTGATGGAGGAGTAAATTAAGGTGTGGAAGTAGCGAAGAGACAGAACTCGAAAAGAAGTTACAGTACGCACTTCTGGTTTCCTTTCATAAGACAACTGCCTGCCTACCCTGCCAAATTCTCACCCAAGCCCTTTAATTTTCACCTTTGGTCTCCTTCAGCTCTTTCCACTTGAACTCTTCAGACATTCCCATGGTCCCTTACATCCACCTCAACTCCCTCTAATCTCCAGGTCCTTCCCTCTGGAAGCTGAGGGGTGGTGTTAGGAACTCGGATTCCAAGTCGGATGGATCCCAACCAGCAGTGTGACCTTTGGCAGGTCTTTTACTCTCTCTGACCCTCAGTTTCCTCATCTTAAATCAAGGATGCAACTGACGATCCAGCTTTGACACTGTCAGTCTTTGATGCCCTGCTCCCACCCCAATCTCCTTTCCTTGCAGTCACGACTGTAGCTAGGAGCCTGGGTACCCGAGTTCCAGGCCAGGCCTCGGCTGACTCAATATTTGACCGTGAGCAAGTGAAGTCCCTTCTCTGGAAGGCTCCATTTTCCCATTTGTATAACAAGCCCAGGTCTCTTGGAGCTGCCTGCTTCATAAGGGCTGTCCTGAGGGTCCACCTCAGCGTTTGGAGAACTAAAGCACAAAGACAGACAGCCGGGAAAGCGCCAGAGCTCTGCAGAGACTCTCAGCTCGGACACTAGCTGTGTGATCTTAGCCAAGGGGCCTGCCTCTCTGGGCCTACAGACATCACCTGCAGCGCGGGGACACAAACGGCGCCCGCCTCGCCGGACAGTGGGCAGCACGGAAAGCGCCCGAGACACCACAAGGCGCGCCGCCCGCTCCCGCCCGCCGCCAGCCGGGCCGCACCTGCGCAGCTGCTGGATCTTGTCGCGGTAGCGGTCGTAGAAGGGGTTGGCCTCGAGCTCGGCCCCGGCCCGGCTGCCGTCGGCGCCCCCCGCGGGCCCGCCCGAGCCGCGGCGCACCGGGAACACGCGCAGCTGCGCGGGGCACACGAGCCCCAGGCCCAGGGCGCGGCTGCGCACGGCGCACAGCCCCCAGTAGAGGCCGGCCACCTGCAGGACGGCCGCGCCCGCGCCGCCCGCCGCCGCCGCCACGGCCGCCATGGCCTCCTCCTCCTCCGCCGCCTCCTCCGCTTCCTCCTCGGGCGCGTCGGCCTCGGCCCGCAGCCCGCGCGCCCGCTGCATCACGCTCCGGCTCCGCCGCGCCCGCGCTCCGGCACCGAGGTTCCGCGCCCCCAAGGTTCCGGGCGCCGGGGAAAGGTGGGGCGGGGAGGAGGGGGCTGCTGCGCCGGCCCCGGCCCCGCCCCCGCGCGCTCCGCCGCTGGGTGTGCCGCTGCCCGCCTCCTCCCCGAGCCTGCCCAGCTTCACGCCCTCCTACTCGGGACCAGCAGCCTCTGCGCTCCAAGTGGCCTCTTGAAAGCCTCTCGGACCTACTGGTCCTCGCGGGGCTTGCTCCCTTTTAAACTCTGCACACTCTGCGCTCGTCTTTCAGCATCGAAGGCCCTTTCATCAGCTATGTTCACAGTAGCAGCCTTTCTTTACTGAGCGTTTCTCGGTGCGGGACACTATCGGCTTCACACCCTGTGAGGCAGGTTTTTTCCCCTCATTTTACAGATTAGGAAACTGAGGCTGAGAGTCATGAAGAGACCTGTCCTAGTTCTGCCCGAGGGCTGAACTCTTTTAAGATGCCGGCTCCCTCTAAAGCCTTGTCTCTCTCTGCTTCCTGACATCCACCTTTAGCTCCAGCTGAACTGAACTACTCTCCTCCCCAAAGGGACACCTCGATTTGTCCTTGACAAGTCTTTATTCTTGATCCCCGCAATGCTCTGTCCTTCCTCTCTCTCCACCCGATGCCGCCATCTTCTTCAATCCCCTGAAAAGGGTGTGAGCTCCTGGGGTCAGGGACAGTGACATCAACATCTCTGTGTCTCACCTGCTCCTAGGACAGGGCCAGGCCTGGAGCATGCCCTCTGCCTGGGACTGATCAGTTTGCCTTCGTGGAAATCCTTCCTGTATGCATCTTACCTGATAGAAACCCCTCCTGAATAGTGGACCCCTCAGGGGCAGGGACAGAGCCTTCAACTCTGCTCAGTCCAACCTACCATCATGGAGATGGGCCCGGAGCCCTGGACTGTGCTGGCAGTAGTGTGGTGGACGCTGAAATTAGTAAGTCCTTTGAGGGTGCTGGCCTGTACTTACCTCAGGATCCTTGCACTGGCTGATCCTCTCGCTTGGACCTGCATGTGGCTGCCTCCTCCTCATTTAGGGCTCACTTTACAAGTCGGCACCTCAAAGGGACTTTTCTTGATGTACCTCACATCCCTTTATATCCTTTATCCCATTACCTTATTTTATTCTCTCCATATCAGTTATGACTGTCTGAAATTCTTAGGTATTTATTTCCTTGTTGACATTAATTCATGGAGCTTACATTCTAGTGGAGTGAGACAGACAATAAATAAATATATAATGTTAGGTGATGGTATGTGCTATGAAGAAAAAACAAAGGAGGCTAAGACAGACAGAAGTAAGGAGGCACTTGAGCAGAGACCTGCAGGAAGTGAGGGAGTGATCTGTATGGATATCTGGGGGAAGAGCCTTCCAGATAGAGGGAACAGCAAGTGCTAAAGCCCTGATGCGGGAGCATGCTGGCCCCGCTAGTGGAACGGCAAGGAGGTTATGGTGTGAGGGAGGTATGGAGAGGCGCAGTTACATCACTCAGGGTTTTGTAGGTCTTGGTTAAGGAGTTGGGTTTTAAATCTGAGTGAGATGAGACGTCGCTGTAAGTTTTGAGCAGAGAAGTAACATGATCTACTTTTAAAAAGGATCATTCTGGCCGCTGGTGGAATATAGGGCATGAGGGGCAAGGATGGAAGCTCTCCCAAGGTGACCAATTTGTCCTGGTTTACCTGGGACTTTCTTGGTTTTAGCACTGAAGGTCCTATGTCCTGGAAACCTTCTCAGTTCCAGGCAAACTGGGATGGTTTGCCACTCTACAGTGAGACCAATAATCCAAGTGAGGGATGGTGGTGCTTAGAATAAAGTGAGAGTGATCGGAAAGTGGTCAGATTCTGGGTATGTTTTGAAAGCAAAGCCTAAAGATTCTGCTAATGGAGTGAATGTGGGTGTGAGAGGGAATGAAAGGAGTCAGGGATGACTTACAGGCTTTTGGCCTGAACAACTGGAAGGATAGAGTTGCCATTTTCTGAGAGGAGGAAGGCTGGAGAAGCTTTCGGAGGATGGATGATCAGGAGTTTGGTTTTGGATGTGTTAGTTTGAGCTAATAGACTGGCAAGTAGGGATGTCAGCCAGGCTGTTGGGTGAATGAGTCTAAAGTTCTTAGGAGTAGTCTGGGACAGAGATAAAAAGTTGTGAGTTGTTAGTATATATATGATATTTAAAGCTATGAGTCTGGATGAGATCACTGAGGGGATGACTGTAGATAGAGGGCTGAGGTCCGAGCTCTAGGGCACATTATTAACATTTAGAGGGGCCGGACCCATGGCTGAATAGTTATTAACTTCAGGCGCTCCGCTTTTGCGGCCCAGGGTTTCACCAGTTCTGATCCTGAGTGTGGACATGGCACCACTTATCAGGCCACGCTGAGGCGGCGTCCCATATAGCACAACCAGAGGCACTCACAACTAGAATCTACAACTATGTACTGGGGGGCTTTGGGGAGAAGAACAAACAAAACAAAACAAAACAAAAAAAAATAAGATTGGCAACAGTTGTTAGCTCAGGTGCCAATGTTAAAAAAAAAAACCAAAACCAAAACAAACATTTAGAGATGGGGGAAAATAGGAGAAACCAGCAAAGCAGACTGGAAAGCAGGAGCCAGAGAGGTGGGAGGAGAGCTAAGGGTAAGTAGAATCAGGAGAAAAATCTGTACTAAATAGGGCCCCAAGTCACATGCTGGGGGACCACAAAGAGGGAAGTAATTAAATGATGCCAAGAAGCTGGGCTAGCCCCGGGGGTGCAACCTACAGGGAGGCTGACTTGGGCTTAATTAAGGATGGGCTTTCTCACTGAGCTGCCCATAAATGGATGGAGCTGCCTCAGGAGGTGTGAGCAGTCCCTGACCCAGTCGCATCCCAGGGATTGGTTGCCAGGTAGGGGAGATCTACCTCCAGGGTTCAAGCATCTCATGGGAGTTGGACTGGACAACGCTCAAAGTCCCTTCAAACTGGAGATGATGTGATTCTGGGAAGCCAACTGAAACAACTGCTTGTTTGACAAGTTGACAGGTTGAAACAACTGTCACAGAGTAGGAGGTTGAGCTGAACCTTGAAGAATAAGCAGGTGTTCCCTGGGGGGAAAAGTGGGAGGGGCACTCCTAGGTGGAAAAGTAGTGTGAGCAAAACTCCAGAGATGTGAACAAGCAGGGTCTGTTAAGGAGTCTGGCCTGGTCAGAAGGGAAAGTGTGTGAAGGATGGGGAGGAAGGTGAGGCTGGAAAGAGATGTAGGGCCAGATGGTAGGGAGCTCCTACAGGACTTGATGCCCAGGATACACTTGCCAGCACTTGCTGAAGGAAGGTAATGAAACAAAAGGGAGATTGTAAGAGCCGAGGGAGTTGGGGTTGATCACTTAGTTCTCTTGAGCAGGTTTTCTCCTGACAACTTGGTCATAGATGTCTTGAGGGCAGGGCTGCCCAAAGCTGTGTGTGCTCCCACTCACCACTGGGGCCAGGTATCCATCAACCATTCCTTAAAGTTCAGCAACAGAAATAAGCCCTGAGGGACCTAGAGCCCTTTCCTTGGGGCTTTTCTGTGGGTTCACCATGACGGGGTAGGGGCAGACAATTCAGTGGGTGGGTCAGTCCCTGATAGAAGCAGTAGAGATACACTATGCCCATGAGACACCATTGGATGGAGTCCCTTCCTTCCATTAACCTAAGACTTCACAATCACTGCCCCTGGAATACTCAAGGCTCAGAACCCAGTGACTTTGCCTTTAGGGAACAATGGGCCTGGGCATTCTGGGGACTCCTATTGGCTGGACAGATAGATAATTGAGCTCCCTCTCCCCAGAGCCATCAGTTGGGTACCGAAGCTCAGCCTTATGGATTCCCAACAGGAGGACATGAGCCTCCCTGGAGGTAAATGTCCCACCAATCCCTGCCCATTGCTTTGCGCCCTTAGGTAGGGGGCAGATACTCAGGGAAGAGCTTTTACCTGGATGGGGTGGTGGCTGCTCGCATAGAGGTTGCTAAGCAGTTAGGATACGGTTTCCTCTAGAAAACTAAGGATTCCTTGCGGGCAGAGACCATGTCTTTCTGCCCAACCAAAGGGGCACTATGAATACCTCAGGACCATCACAGCTGGATGGTTAGGGGTTGTAGTGGAATGGGATGGGACATTGGTGTCCCTGTCAACTGGTAAACTTTTACTTCCTTGATGGATCTTGCCTTGAGTGAGGCTTCTCAATCTGATAGATTGGATGTGTCCAGGGTTGGGAACCAGAGGCCTGACTAAGCCGGGGCAGGTCATCCCCTCTCTAGACCTTGCTTTCCTTATCTGCAAAGGGCAAAAGGTGGCCTCTTAAGCTCCCTGGAAATCTAGCTTTGACTGAATAAGAGAATGACAAGGCAAGTCAACGAGGAGGGAAGGAAGGAATGGAGAGAGTGGTTAAGTGGATGGAATGATTGATGAATGGGTTAAGGAGAGGAATGAGAAACAGCTCAGGCCTCAAGCTAGGGCTATCAGCCAGTTTGCCTCTTTTTCTTTCTTATTGCCTTAGTGTGGCTTTCATTGTACTTTGGATTCCTGGGACTGTGTTCTGTGGCAACCGGCGGCTTCATTCTCCTTCTGCACTGGAGGAAGAACTTGCGGCGGGAAGAACGTGCCCAGGAGTGGGTGGAGGTGATGAGAACCACTGCGTTCACCTACAGCCCGCTGTTGTACTGGATCAACAAGAGACGGCACTATGGCATGAATGCAGCCATTAACACAGGCCCTCCCCCTGCTGTCATCAAGACTGAGACTGAGGTCCAGAATTCAGCTCCTCTGTGGGAGTTGGACATCTCCGAGAGTGGGAGCTATGCAGCTCAAGGCAGCAGCCCCAAGGTGGAGGCCCCTGTTCCCCTGCAACCTGAATTGCAGGTGGGCCCACAGCAGCTCCTACCTTCCCCAATGCTGCAGCCCCAGGCCAGCTCTCCATTCCCAATTCTCATCTTTCAGGAGCTTCCCTTTGACTTTTCTCTGTGCCATATACCCCCAATGCTGAATCACTCGGCCTCCTACCCTTTGGCCACCTGTCCTGAAGGCAACGCCTACTTCTATTCCCTTCCCACACTGGCCCTTGGGGACCACTGCTTCAATGCCAAGCCTTTTGCTTCAGAATTGTAGCCTCCTCTCACTGAAGGTGGGAGCTGGAGGTATCAGGGGCAGAACAGGAAATGGAGTTAACCTCAGGATGGTGGTATTGATACAGAGGCCAGGGCCCATCTGGATGTCACATCATTAAAGATTAAAAAAGTTCAAGGTTTCCTTGTGTCTCATTTGTTGTTAGCAGGGCAAATGTTCCTCCCATTTGATGGGGGCACTTTCCAAACGAAGCTGAAGGTTGCCGAGTCACAAGTGAGAACTGGAGGGTTGGCTGTGGGGAGACACACTGAACCAGTACTCGTGATGGGCTCAACATCTCTCTGTCTAGAGTTTAAGACCAAAAACATGTGCCAGACCCTGGGCTAGGTACCCAAAGGCACTGCCCTTCTGTGGGATGTTGAGCACAGCTGCTACAAGAGTGATAGCTGCTGAGGGTGCATGAACTATGGCGATTCATAGTGGCCATGTTGCAGGCAAAACAAGTCATCATGAGACCCATGAGCCACGCTGCACTGCTGGCTGAATCACGTTCTTTGTTAACATCTTTGTTGACGTATTGAGTTCTTACGTGGTTGTCTCTGTACATTACTCCTAACACTAACAAGAAAGCTGCCAAATGGCTATCACCATCCCCCTCTTACAGACGATGAGACAAGGTTCCAAGGGCATTTGCCATATTGTTTTTATTTTACAGAGCTAGTTCTCAAATTTATGTCTGCCTGGCTTCAAAGTTCCTGATCTCCCCACCATACACCATGGTGTCCCTTCCCTAATGATAAGTCTTGCTAGGAAACGCTTGGCAAGATTGTGTGTGTGTGTGTGTGTGTGTGTAGGGTGTAATTAACTTGCTCCACAGATTGGCTTTGGGGAAGGGATGGTCAGTGAACACCCTTTAATTACTCCGAAATAGATCCAGTTTTTAAAATCTTCACCAAAGGGATTCATGGCCCCTCCAAGTTAAGATACACTATATGGGAGTATTAATTTTTGTACCTTCTGGAAACAATCCTAAAAGGAAAGACAAAGATAATAGTGGCTATTTGGTTCTAGTTTAAAGATAAAGTCCAGGTCTGCCCCAGGATATAAATTTTTCTCTTTTACTTTGGAAATGTGAGGAATGAGGAAATCATCTTACCATAGGTAGATGAGTAAGCTTTATGTATAGTCGTCCCTGAAAGGAAAGGCCACCCAAATTGTGTGTGTGTGTAATCCCAGAATCTAGCAAACAGGTAGAGCTAAGCCCCAGCACCCAAAGGACTCCTCTTGCAATGGACTTCAAGCTTTTTTGTTTTTTAAAATGCAGTGGAACATTTCTTGTAAACATGCTCTTATACTGAATCTCAAAATACATAGCATGCCTAAGTGGAGCTTGACTGATAAGGGGCAGGGGCTCACTCTTCCCTCAGCCTGCCCCCTCCCACCCTGCAGATGCCAGAGAAACGGCCTTCACTTCTTCAGGCCAAAGCCCGTGGTTCTTCAGGCACATTCTTCAACATTGCTTTGTGCCCACCACCTGTTAGTCCCTGCTTTCAAAAGGAGGAAGGAATCCATAAAAATATGGATCAAAGCAGATAAGTTTTTTTTCCTTAGTAATGGTGGGGGCGGGGAGCTCTTAGTCACAGACACAGTGGGAGAAAAAGAAAATGTTTTATTTAGATAAATTAAAATGTCTGTATTACTGATATGAACTAAGCAAAGCTCAAATCAAGTCATGGAAACCTTGAATTCACTCCCTAAATAGAACCAAAATTGCTTATACATTACCAAAATAGCTCCACTAAAGCAAAGTAGATTTACATTTCTTAATATGAGAAAACAACAAGGTAGCTTAGGTTCGTATAACAAACAATACACGCTCTGTAAAATCTCAGGAATACCCAAATGTGTTCTGGTTTGGATATGAGAGGAGAAACCACATCTAGCTGGTGTTGGCAAGCAAGCCAATGAGGTGTGTAGCAAACAAAAGCTGTCACTAAAAACAACTCAACAGCAGGTCATTAGGAGTGTGAGCCCATCACAGTCAAAATCTTCAACTGTGACCAGCAAGACCAATGAGGGGGGCTGACTGGGTTAAGTCCAGCCACGTAAAGTGAGGAAGCGCCAATGGAAGAGACGGTAACCGGTAGCAGATGAAGGGCGTCCACTCTTCGGTGTTGCTGTATCAGACATATTCCTAAGTGCCAGGCCCTTCTCTGCCCTTAAGATGACACTAGTCATCCCTAAACCAGGTTCTCTCTTCTTTTGGTTCTTCTCCTTTTTGCTTCTCTGATTTATGAAGAGGCTCTTTAAGTAAACAGTATAACAGTACAAGGCAAAAGAAAAAAGGACCCAGAAGCAGTGATTGGGATAACTTAGGAAAGCAGCAGCAGGAGCTGCCAAAGTGAAAAAGTAAAAGTATCTGAAATGAAAACCAAAATCAAACTCACCGCCACGACTCAACCTCCCTCTTAGAGCTGAGATGTGGCAGGTGAGGCTTGACTACAGCTCAAGTCACAGGTTGGGTAAGTCAAGCCACATACAAATAAAGATCCCAAATTAACACTGGATAATAGGCTTACGGAGTTCTTTTCTTAAGCCAACGAGTCTGCTCAACTTAGAACCAAGGAGTTCAAGATGCCCTTGCTCTGCCTGGGACATGGGATACTTTCTTAGGCAGTATGACAAGGTATTCACCAGTCTAAGAGTGTAGCATGAACACCTCTGCCAAATTTGGGAAGGGGAAAGGATGGTGCTAATACAGCTGGCTCAGGGATGAGGCTAGCCAGACAAGCTCGAGGTGGGAAGAACAGATAACAAAGAACAAAACTGCCTTCTCCATGTGTAGATGTCTGAAGCAAAAGAAAAGTACATACAACAAAGAGTTAAGGTGTTCTCAAAGTATCTGCCTATGAATAAGAATTTGAAAGTAAAAAGGACAAGCTACATTACCCTCAAGTATATTTCATATAAATCAGTTCTCAAAAAAATACCTTCCAGGTACAGACATACTATTTATGGTACAGTATATACAAATATAGCAGTATAATTCAATTTATTGCTAGAATTTTATTTGGTTGTTACAAAATCTGTAAGGGCATATATATTAAAAAAAGGAGGGGCATGGAAGGCAGCCAGAAGAGTAAGAGTTATCTTCAAGTTACCTAAAGTGCCAGGTTAATTTTACACTATATGTTAACCTTTCCAAGAAAGAGAAAGCTCAGGTGGGCTGGGAAATTTTCTTTTTAAAAGAAAGAGAAGCATAAGCCATAATGAGGTAAGCAGACACATTCATGGGAAAAGACTTCATCTTGCTTTAATTAAATTTTAATACTTCTAGGAAAAAAAGCTTCTAAAAGCTTAGCCAACACCAAGCTGAACATGATATAAAGAAAAACACCAGCCCTTAAATATTTAAGGGTGCTCAACTGCATTTGTGGCTAACAGGACAACTTGGGAAAAGTTAAAATGTAAATGAGCTCTACTAAAGAAGTCTGTGCCATGAAAGCTTCTCTGGTTTCTCCCTGACTTGGCCTCCAGCACAGTTAAGTCTTGCAAAGTTTTTTCCTTTTGTGATGCCCCAACACTGCTTCTAACAGCAACACAGCACACACATAGGTGACATGGAGGTATAATTCCTTCCAGTCCAGGGACCTTTAGTACCAGGCCTACAGAAGTGTTTAAAGGAAGAAGTATTGCACTTGCTTATATGAGATTTGAAAAAACTTCCTACCATCACATGAAGCCCCCGGCTCCAAGCCTGCCCGCTATCGTCTGGCATCCTCTGGACAGAAAGCCTCTAGCTACTCCTGGGCTAGTAATTGTAAGGAAACCTAATATGGTTTCCTGTGTTTCATTTCCCAACCTTTCTGGCCTTAGCCAAAAGAGGGATACATTAGATTCTTGGTTAGCCTCCAGGTAAAGTCTCAAGGAGTTTCCTGGGTCAAAGTTAGAGGCATAGCTCTCCTCTAAAGCTCCTAGGTAGCCAGGCTAACAGTGACCGAGGGTCTTCAGCTCTGTCATTCAGAATGAAGACAGTATCAGAGGTGGAAATCAGCTACAGCTTTAAGATAGACTTGAGTGGGTGGGCGGGGAAGATAACGTAGCTCACTCAGGGGGGAAATATAGCTCCCTGCTAGATAACTTTGTATGCTCATAAACCCTAAAATAGGATTAAAAACGAGAAAAAAATCCCCGACAAGACTTCTCTGGTTCACAGGTTGGGATTAGCTAAGGAGAAGGGACAAAGAGCCAGAATTTTACTTTCCTGAGCCTGGAGAGGACACTGTCCCCACTGGGTCCACTCTCTAAATCTATTCCCCCAGCCACCAGGCCAAACCCCCTGGCAGCACCTAAAGGAGATGCCTTAGGGAGGAGTGGACAGAGTTTCAGCTGCTACCACCTCAGATTAGTGATTTTTAATAACAAGTCATTTGTTCACATCCTGTTTCAAACCATTCTATTTCCCACAATTATGCACAATTGTTTCTTTCATTTTAAATATTTACAAACAGAAAAGGTCTAACTTTTAAAGGAAACACATTTTCTGACTCTGTATAAAGTGCAGCTAATTTAAGGCAAATTTATGTGAAATATAAAAGGTGGCTTATTCTCTCTATATACACATTTTCCAGTTTTAAAAGATAAGGTCTCCTCCCCTCAAAAAAAGGAAAAGAGAAAAAAAGAGGGCTTGACTTTTTTTCCGGCAATTTTAAAATTAAGATCTTCTTGGTGTCAGGAAATTAGAGATTTCTGAATATCATATTCTACATAAAATGGTCTTCTTTTTTAAAAAAATAACTTTTATATAGCTTTTTCAAACAAGTTAAAAGGTGGCAATGTGTCTGCTATAGTAGTCTGGAGAACTGATGGGTAAGTAAAAGGGTTGTTTTCGTTAGGTGAGTAGATATTAGGTAGTCCAGGGTATATATCAATTTCTAAAATATGCCTGATGAAGCTAGACACCTAAAGCTACTCTTAGCTCCAGGAATGAGTATCTTCCATCTCCATCGGAATCATATGCTCTCAAGCTCTCTGGTTCTGGCACAGCAGAACTTAAGGAGTTAGAGATTTCTTGGTAGGTCAGCTTCCCATCCACGTCCTGGTCATTCTTGTGGAATAAATCCTGGAGATCTGTTAAGAAGGAATTACAAAAAATATATATGTCTATACATATAGCTAAATTTAGTTAACAGTTAAAAAACTAGTCTCAACTGAATTTTAAAAAGCTACTTTTGTAAACTTTGTTTCCAAAAGGTAAAGTTTAGGATCTCACTAAATAAGAAAGACTAATTCTTAATCCTTTAAGAATGAGAGGAATAACGTATGGCACTATCCTTCCAAAACAGAAGCAGTGACAGAGAATCACAAGAGAAATTAATGGACTGGCTTTCTGTTTGCCCAGGGCCTACCTTTTAAATTTTCCAGACTGTATTCTTATGTTGAAGGGGTGAAAAGGATTGTAGAGGCCTAAAGAACCGCTTGATAGGAGCTGAGCCTATAAAACTGACTACGGCATATTGTCAGTTAAACAGAGCTATCATATGACCCAGCAATTCCATTCCTAAGTATATACTCAAGAAAAATGAAAACATATATCCACACAAAAACTTATACACGAAGACTCATAGCTGTATTATTCCTAATAGCCAAACAGCCAAAACAAGCCAAATATCCATCAACTGATGAAGAAATAAACAAAATGTAGTATATCCATACAACAGAATATTATTCAGCTATAAAAGGAATGAAATCCTGCTACACGCTACGACAAGGGTGGATCTTGAAAACATTATGCTAAATGAAAGCATACTGAAAGAAAGCAACACACATGAGGCCACGTGTTGCATGATTCCATTTATATGAAACACCCAGAATAGGCAAATCCAAAGAGACAGTGGTTGAGAGATTAGTGGTTGCCGGGGAATAGGGGAAGGGGAAATAGGAAGTGACTGCTTAATGGATACAGGGTTTCTTTTGGGGATGATAAAAATGTTCTGGAATTAGATAGTGGTAATGGTTGCACAACCTTGTGAATATACTAAAAACCACTGAATTATACATTTTAAAAGCGTGACTATTATCGTAGGTGAATTATATCTTAACTTAAAAAAAAAAAAAGAACCAGAGGACTGTATCTCTTCAAAGCTATATAAATATAGAGGGAGGCAGCCAGGCTAGCTAGCTATCTTTTTCCTCAGCTAAGAGAGAGAGCAATACCACCAGCTGTTCTGTATCTTCTTTTTTATTTCTAAGATATTATTTAAGCCAATAGGATTGGAGAATTTCTACCAACAGTCTCTCCTGGTATTTTCTCAAGGGCCCCATAATAAATACTTAGGAGAGCTAATTATTTACATAACATTTAAAAAGGACTTAATTGTGTCCCCACAGAACGACTTAGTAGATTTAGTCTCTAATACCAGAATATGGTCAATGAGACATGTTTCTTTAAAAATCTTCCTAAATTCCTTTCCTTTCTTCATTTATTCAACTCCACACCTAGATTCAAAGGCCTCCTGCTGTTTGCTACTTAGGAAGAATGGAAATGGCTGAAGGTAAGAGGGCATAGAGTACAAGGTACAGTCCAGCCAGAAGTTTTGTAGACAAGCCTCTGAATAGCGCCCTACTTTTACTCCTAAGACAGCCCTGGCCAAAGCAGCCAATAAGTCTCAAGAGTTCTCTGAGAGCCAGAAAAGCAGGTGGGAGGCTTGTTCCCAAAGGCTGCCACCAAGTGGCTAGCTGGAAAATGTTTTTTGTGTGTATATGGGGCATGAATTTATAAAATGTGCTAAATGCACTTGGCAGCAGTATTTGAATAAAAATCTGATTGCTGTTTCAGGTAATTTCAAAGTGTAATCATTCAAAAGTGTATAAGGCCCATGTTGGGGACTGAACTACAAATGTTAACATGGCTATTTCTTAATCTTCTCTCACAGTCTGTCTTCCATTCTTTCTCATCAATTCTTGATGTGACAATGGAGAGTCAGAGGAGGCAACTGTGTTGCCAATAAACACAACCCAATACTCTGTCGCTTCCTCCAGAAAATAGAAAGAAAAAATTGAGGATAGGGAAAAACAGTAAATGCATTTAAATGGCAATATAAATTTAAATCTTCTACAGCCTGCAGATAACTCATTCACTTAACAAATATTCACATGTACCGGGCACTTGCTAGAGGCTGGGAGTGAAGTTAAATTTTCTATCTCCCCAGGAAATTAGAAGAGAGTGACACATGCTAAACAAGGGCAAACACGAAATACTGTAAGAGTACAGACTCAGGAGGAATCTAATCCAGACCCAGGAGGTAAGGAAATGTTTCCTGGTGGAATGATACCTAAGCTGAGGTAGAGAGTCAGGCAGAGGTAGGTGGCCAGGAATGGGGTGACTTTCCAGGCAATATCAAGAGTCTCTAAACATCACAAGGAGGGTGAGAAGACACATTGTTGGAAGCGAGGCAAACATTTTTCTGTGAATCATATCTTTCCTACCAATGTTTATCTTGCTGATTTTCAGCCAAAGGACCTCTCATTTTTGGAGGCCCCTGACAAATACAATCAACTTTTTACTTTATGTTGCTAATCTCCACTAGTGTGCCTTCTCCACTAGACTGTGACATCCACGAGGAAAGTGAGATTGGATCTTATACGGTTTTCTCATTGCTTAGCACTGGGTCTAATTAGGCACACAGTGAATGAACAAAGACTCTAAAAAACATTAATAGAGAGATAACACAGTACCTTGGTTAAGAGTGCAAACTTTGGTGTCATACTGCCTTGGTATGAATTTTACCTCAACCAATTATGTGCTGTGTGGACTTAGGCAGTTTCCCTCTCAGTAAAATGGGTATAATACATGAATATTGATGTTCTCAGGATTACATGATAAAATGCATATCAAGTATCTGGCCCATAGGAAGAGCTCAATAAATGTTAGATACAACTCTTTTTCTTAAAAGTTAAAAAATATTAAAAAGTTGTAACTCTGAACATTTCCCCAATTACCTCATGGTATAAAACTTTACCTTTGATGCTTGAAATTCCTGGCAGGGAGACAGGTCTTAGCTGGACAGCTTTCTCAACCTGGTCTCCAAAAGATCGTGGAAATTTTGGCAATGCTGATGGCTTTGATGTGAAACTCTGTACTTGCTCTGTAACAAACACATACAATTTTAGTATTATCAAATCTGACACCAAACTAAACCAGTATTGAAGGTCACCTTTTAGGGCAATTGTATACATACTTAATTTAAGAGAAACAGCTGAGAATTAAGTAACAGAGTGACTAATGTGAGGTTAAAGGCTTGGATTGAGATATGTTTTGCGGGTAAGGGAAGATCAATCAGTAGTAGATAACATTAAGGTTTGAAGCTGTGGTCCCACTGGAAGATCTTATGTATAAGTTAGCATTTTACCTGTTTAGCTGGTAAGAGCTTAAGTCGCAAGTGAGGACAGCATTGGATATCTGACATCCTAGGAGCCATGCTATAAGCCTGATGTGGGGGTAAGTGCTCTTTGACCAGCTGGTGCTGAAAGAGTGCTACCACACGATTATGTACTATAAGGCCTCCTGTTGTAGTCTGTCTCCCACCCAAAAAAGAATAAGAAAGGTTGTATTGTTTTCCCCAAATGAAAAATACTTGTAGGGGGCAGGGGTCAAAGCCAATGCAGTCCAGTGCCGTGGTTATGCCTTGGTTACGTCTTCACAGAGCTTAAACCAGTGGAGGTTGATGCATCTGCTAATATTGGTTAGGTGTCCCTATCTAAAGCCAAGGGCCCTTCCAACCCAATAATACCATGATTATTTGTTAATGGTTTTTCACAAGAACTAATATTTATTTTTAAGTAAATTTTATGCACTTACAGAAATGAAAAGATGCCCATAAACAACATTTAGGGCTGGTTTAATATACAATATGAGAGTAACATTTTTGCCTATAATTGGATGCAGACAGCATGGAGAAGTCTATTTCCAGCCAAACATTACCCATTCTTCCCTTAATAGACTGGAGTACAAATCATGTACAAAATGGGCTTTTTCTAAATGAAAGCAAAGTGTATCAGCTTCATCTCAGTGCGCTCAGGCATCACTCAGTTCGATCAGTCCTGCTGGAACACCTTTCCCCACTCCCAGTGTGGGAGGCAAGCTGCCCAAGCCTGCGTGAAATATTCAGAAGCCAGCCCTGAATATCTCACCTTCATTGGCGGTCTCTGGAGGCCTGTTGCTCTCAGGTTTGTTTGTGAAAGCACTGATCAGCTGTAGTTTCTCTCTTAGCTTGGATACCTGAGAATCTGAACTATCTTCTTTCTGCTCAAAACAAAGATCACAGAAGGTTTAAGGTGGAAGTCAGACCTCATTTGATTCTTCATTATATTTCCAGAGCCTATTTAGCACGTGGTGCTTGGCCCCCAGTAGGTTCCCTATAAATGCAATGAAGGCATGACCCAACAAATACTAGAGAGATCTTTGGTATCAGTGCTGATGAGGGCCTAGCTGGATTTGAGGCTTGACCATTAAGGGAACATTATGCTTCAGATGATCTGATTCACCGTGAACATTTGGCTGATGGGGAAGGCATGCATGTGTCAGCAGTAAAGAAAATGTACCCATGCTCAAGTGCCTATGCGACGCCCATTTCCTAAAGGAGTAGGATGTTGTTTTCTAGGAACTATTTCACACTAACTAATGTTCCTGAATATCTTACTTCACCTGGGACTAGTTTAGGTAAAGTTTTACGCTCTTATCATCTTAAAAAAAACCCAATCAAACCAGAAGTGTTCCCTGATCCTCCTTCTCTGCCTCCATGGGGATGACGCAACTGGTGGTAGGAACATGAAGGAGCTGGAATAGTTCTAATTCAAAGTCTTACTTACATAAGTCTTCTTAAAAAGTTTTTTCCCTATATCCTGCCTCACTCCTGGGATGATGTAGAGTGGCATATAAAAATACATTTAATTATAAAATGAAAGAAGTCTGGTTTCTATGAGGCCAGTTTCTAACTACTTAGGCTAGGGTGAAAGACCTGATCCTATGTTTAAGTAGAACATAACTCATTACACATTTCTTTTATTTAACGTATATTTACTTATTGCTCTCCTATCTTTATTTCTACCCTAACAGTTACTGCATAGTAGATTGCTTTTGGTTTATTTAGGAAGGTAAAATACAAACATATGTAACTAAAACTAGGTACTAAATGCTTCAAGAATGTATGGTAAGGAGAAATTACATCTGGTTAGGATGCTTCAATGAGGTAGGATAAAGGGACTAATACATTGGGATGACAGTTAAAAACACAGAGTCTGAAGGTAAAGCCAAGAAATTCAGGCTTTCTGTGTACTAGCTGTATTTTATTTTGATATTTACTGTCAAAATCTGACTTGTTCCTGAAATCACTAGTACTTCCCAATAGTAACCACCTGTTACTTTTTTTGGGCTCAACATTTATACCTGGATCTTAAATTTTTTTTGTCATTCTCTAGGTGAGCTTTTTTTTCAAAAAAACTCTTCTTTGCAGAAGCAGTTAGAAAACTCAACAAAAGCCTAGCTTATAAAGCATTAAATCTTAATATATATGATTTTTATCTAGACAATATAAAATTGTTAGGGAAGAACAAATATAGATGGAAAACATTACATTGAAAACTGCCTCTACTATGGTTCATTTCCAAGTTCATTTCCTCTGAACCTCATATCCTTGAACTTCTCAAATGCAATGTGCATCTGAGATGATGTTTTAGCCACTCAGTCACAGTCTTCCTGGCTTTTCCTTTATCTTAGCCCAGGTCTTATAATATTAAACAACACTCTGATCACAGAGAAGTTGCAAATGAACTCTCTTTCCTGGGATATCAAAGTATATCACAGATTGCTTGTCTTATCTTGACAATATATCTGGGAAGAACAAAAAAATAGGAAAGTACAAGGTGATGGGAACTGGCTGAGGCATAAGGGGACAATGTATGTACTGAGACTACAATCCTGTTATCCCCCCGCCATCACCCAAGAGACTGCAATCTTAAAAATAAATCACTTTTAGGTTAGACACCATTTTTAGATCATCTATGCTTCCGTTCCTCATCATTAGTACAGATAACTTACTTAGATTAAAAGTCACTTCCTTAGGGAAGCATTCCTGATCTTTGTTAATGCCCTCATTGAGCCCTACACTTTTCCCTGTAGCACTTATCATACTTGTCATTATGTGTTCAATTATGTGTTAATGGTTTTCTGACTGATGAACTTTGAGCTCCACCAGAACAGGGGTCACATGTCTATCCTGCTCACTGTGGTCACCCAAGCTCCCAGCAAAGTGCTTGGCACAGGGGAGGTGCCTGATAAAGTTTTCACTAATATACTAATTTAGTAATTACTTTGTTTTGAAGCTTCAGCAAATGAGACCAAAGTGCTCCTTTTGAGAAAGACGCAATAGCTTAAAAGCACAAAGATGCTGACGCATCTATTTTTACTTCAGAGTGAGTCTCCTGTTATTTACCTTTATGCTTTGGGTTTTTACTGTTTCAGTTCCATTGGTTACTTGATGCAAAGACTCTCTTTTGAGAGTGGCAGCTCCATCACCCATCTTAAAGAGAAAAAAGAACAAGAGAAGATTAAAGGCAAATATTAAAACTTGAACATCTCGCACTTTTGAAATAAACTGGTCAAACTTATTTAAAGGGTCTCAGAACACTTTCAACAGAAATATCAGTAGGCGGGAGGGAGGGAGGCCACTGAGACACAAAGCTGAAACTAGCGCTTCCAGTGGTTTCAGTCACAAACTTTAGAACTTGAAGTATAAAAGGCGAGAGAACTTTTACCAAGAAACATGCTGGGTATGATGCTGTTGGAAAGAAAGAGTAGGACAGATGGTACTATTAACAATTTCCTCTTCTGGAGAATAAGTGAGGAGGGGCAGGACAGTACAGGGAGTTTGGGGGTGGCAAGTTTTCACAATAAGCCTTAAAACCTTCAAGGCCTCCTACTCATCAAATCATCCCAAATTCCTAGCCTCTACTTAGTTCAGCTGAGTTCAAAAGGGCTTTTTACAATAAGGCTCCTTTAATCTTCACAGCTTTGTAGTAAATTACACACCCTGCATAGCAGGAGGAGGAACAGGTCTTCTTACTCCATCCTCAAAGCCAAGTCGAGGCAACTTGCCAAGGCTCCACTGCGGCACAGCCAGTTCAAACGCTGCTTTCCATGTGCCAGAGTCTGACTTTATTTGTGGGCTTGCTTCCAGCTTTGGTGGTTACTTGAATTTATAGTACAATTTTCCTGTATTTGTATTTCTCTATATATGCCTGTGTCTTTGTTGTATGAAATCTTTAAGCGTAAGGCTTGCAACTATTAAAAAATAATCCATATGGATTTCAGCACAACGTATATGTGAATGTTGATAAGAAAACGCCACATTTTTTTCACAACAACATGAAAACCAGTATATTTTATGGTCTGCCAGTGTTAGTGACTTACTGGGTCATTCAGTTTCCTCATGTAAAATGAGAGGCTGGACTCAATGGAGAGTCTCAAGTTCAGGAGCTGGTCTGATCTGATCAGTTTTAAATGGCTTTCCTGACATTATATGCAATAGGATCCCCCTAATATGCAGATGAATCAGGATAAATCTGAAAGCCAAGTTCAGGCTTCAAGAAATAACAAAAGATTCTTTAGTTATTGTCACTATCATTGCTCCCACCCATAACAACTTAAAAAAGAAAAGATCAAGATTTCACTTGGAAATACACGCCAGAGCTTCCCTACCAGATGGGGCACTGGTAACATAATATGAGGCTTGTCATCTCTGCCAACAACTTGTGGTGAGGTCTTGGCAAGCAAATGAATCTCTCTACATCTCCCTTTCAAATCAGGACTAACACCGCCTGTGCCATTCACATCACAGAGCTAGTGTAGGGATTAAAGGAGACAAGGATTAAGTATGACACAAATGTGCAGCCTCTCAAATATGCCAGAAGACTGCGTCTGAAAAGGTTGTGGCATGTCACCTAGATACACACAGAACACACTGTAACACAGAACATGTCACAGAAGATGGGAAAAGGCTCACCATGCTTTCTAGTGAAAGTGAGAGGACAGGTTCACTTGCTTTTCTACCTTGCCCATAGCAACCAGATCTCTTTCTATCAAGTTGATTCTCTGGGAAAGATTACTGACTGTCTCATTCATCCCCTCGAGTTTAAGATCACTCTGTCTCTGGTATCCTACTAGGGCACTGTTTCCCTCCTCTAAAGAGTTGTTAAGGTACAGGCTATCCTGGAGCAGAAATAAATCAAGTTGTGGAATCCAGCTAAAGATGTATACTAGACAAGCAGGCCAGCAGCACTGAACAACCATAATTATGTCAAGTTCCTGAAGTGAAGTCTTTTTCCTAGTTTAGACCATTGATTGTCTGTCTCTGCTTTGTCCCTCCACTCTAAATTGCTCCCAGTTTACTCCCTCTGGAATTGTTTGACCTCAGCTAGACAGGAGGGGGAAAGAGGGAAGAGGACTACCTACATGATTCACTCTCTGGTCCCAGAAAGCTGAGAGCGTGGGAATTGATTTCCCAATGCTTACCTCACCTGCTGGCGGGAGAGCTGGCTGGGTTATTAACTGAAATGCTCATCAACCTAATTTGTCAGAACAAAACTACCTTAGGAGCAATACCAATTACTGAATTGGCTTGTGTGGCAAAACCATAACAAGTAGTGCATTATTTAGTACAAGATTCAATTCTTTTTATTGACATCCTCTAGTATTGATTGCTACTTAAAAAGGAATGATGACTATAGGTTTTAAAGGACATTAAACTCAGGACAGGAATTCTTAGTGAAGATTTCCTTTATTCTCTTTAATGTGACTTTGAATTCAATATCCTTTTCCTCCCTCTTGTCTTTAGTCTTTAGAAAATCCTGATTTTCAAGGGTATGCTTTCTAATATTCTTAGAATTTACTATGGCTCAAACTAGCCATCACTCTGAATTAATCTGCTATCCAGACACCTTTAACTTGCTCAGATTGCTATTTTTCATAAAGAGTTTCAGGATAATCTGGTTGTTCTATGTCTTTCAAGAGGTGAGAAGGAATTTACTCCACTGATCAACATGCAGGGAAAAAAAGCAGAGTGCCAAAGAAGAGAGAGGACAGCATCTTGTTTCCTAAGATAGTAACACATATCCCTTTCTGCTCAGTTCTTAGGCAGGCAAATATATGTAGAGAAGCCTGCCAAGGCACCACAACACTAAGCCCAAACTACTCAAGTGGCCTCCAGAGTCCACTGTGGTCACAGGGAGTTAAGCCAGAGACAAAAAGTACCTGTTTCAAATTTTCGCTGTGAGTTTTATTGTCAAGTTCTGATGTAGCTGAAGGTGATGGAATGATCTGGTTGCTTCCACTGGTCTCCTTCAAGAACTGCTGATTTGTTAACAGGAATGGAAGTTAGTATAGGCAATAAGTAATTACTAGTTCTACTTAACCATCTGGGACGGTCTCAGAACACTGCAGCCTCTTCCAGGGAGCATCCACAGATTTATCAACAATGATTTCCTGGGAACCTACAGTGTGACCAGTTCTGTGCTAGGCCCTGAGGGCACCAGATACCTCTGGGGATGCCCAGCATGAAGCATGGGCTGGACAGCATACCTAGATGACCTTGGGAAACTGGGATCTTCCTGGTCTGTTTCTCAGCCTCCGAATGGAATGAACTCCCCAGAAACCAGTCCTCCTCTCCCCCATTACCTGGACTCCCACAGAAACTGTAGAGTCACTATAACTTCCCAGGAACCAACTCAGTCTAAACCTGGCTAGTGTCATCATGTCCCCAAGACTAAAGAGGTTTGAACATTCAAGGAGTAGCCAGTCATGTAATCACTGGCTTTGGGCACTGAGCACAATCACCACTCATGCATATTATTAGCTTTTCAGTTTTAACAGCACGTGCCATGATTTATGTTTGAGAGTCATCCTTCCCTTCCCATTCCCTCCTCACTGCTCAAGTCTCTCTTTAATGAGACTGAAGAATAACATGTTTCTATACACTTTTTCCCTTTAGTGAAAAAAATTTTGTATGGCTTAATCTTTCAGAGCCCATAACTACAACTTATTTGGTATAAATTGTGCCAGTAGGAGGATTAACACTGGTAGCCATGGAAGTCTAAAAGTGGTAGATTTAATTAGAATGCAATTGGGGCTGGCCCTGTGGCCGAGTGGTTAAGTTTGTGTGCTCCGCTGCAGCAGCCCAGGGTTTCACTGGTTCAGATTCAGGGCGCGGACATGGCACCACTCATCAGGCCACGCTGAGGTGGCTTCCCACATGTCACAACTAGAAGGACCTACAACTAAAAAAGACAATTATATACCAGGGGGCTTTGGGAGAAAAAGGAAAAAAAAAAAAATCTTAAAAAAAAAAAAAAAGAACGCAATTGGTGAAAAGAAATTGTTTTCCTTGAAATCTGAAATCCTAGACATTCACCAATCCTGCCTTTATAAGAAACAAAAGGCAACAATAAAGAGAAAAGGAGGAGTAGAGGGGAAAAAACCCATGGTTTTTTAAGCTTAAATTTATAAAGTTTAATTTTTGATTTAGGAAATAATGTACTTTAGAAAATATTTAATTACTTGAGCAAATGCTCCAGATATTAAAAAAATAATAATAAAAGAATTGCTGAGTTAGAGAGGTCTTTATTCTTATGGATCACATAGTTACTCAACAGCAGAGTTGGAACTACAATCCAGGGTGTCTGGACACCTAGATCAATGCTTTTTCCTCTGGGTGAGCCCCACTAAATAAGAGTGAGCAGTACTGGTTTTGAAGAAAATAAAAACCCCTCCCTTCCAGAGCTCTAACATAGCCCAGGTATCTCTGGTACAATTTACCCAGTTTAAACTTGAAACTCCAAAGCTTAAAAAGAGCATGATCTAGAAATTAGTGGAGAAGCTAGGGAACTTCCATGTGCCTTGAAGAGTCCTGATTTCACGTACATGTAACTCATCTCCCCAGCAAGACAGCGAGGGCTGTGCCATCCATTTTTACTCTTCATAAAACCTTCATGGAGCTGAGTACTCATTAGGTGATTAATTAAGGCCTCTGATTGACTGCAGACAGCTTACATCTGCACAGCATTGAGAAACACTTGAAAACAATTCCTGGGCACTACAGGGGTTGGCTCCTGTCTCAGTTATCTGTTGCTACATAACAAATCATCCCCAAACTTTGTGGCTTAAAACGACAATTTATTATTTCTCATGATTCTGTGGGTTGACCTGGCTCAGGGGGGTGTGGGCGTGCTTGTGTTCCACATGGTGTAGGCTGAGGTCACACATCTGGCTGCATTCAATTGGGAGCTCGGTAGAACCAGAATATCCAAGATGGCCTTTCCTCCTCTAGACCTCCTCTTCATCTGGCCTCTCATCATTCTACAGCCTAAGGGCCCTGCCCAAATTCCTGGCCCACAGACAAGAAATTATAGTGAGAAATCATGTGTTGTTTTAAGCCACTAAGTTTTGGGATGATTTGTTCTTTAGCAATAAATAACTGAGACACTTCTCTACTTTCCTTTCCTTCTTTTCCATTTTTCTTCCTACCCATTCCACCCTCAGGAACTGTGTCCCAATGCCGCATCTCTTCCAGCATGTTTGCAAAGGACTCAGCTTTTAATTCTATCCACCTTAGCTGCTTAATTTACAGACTGTAGAAAAATCAATAAACTTTTGCTTATTATGTCTTTTAAAAAGGGGCATAGTTGGGTCTGTGTGGATAATTGGAAAGTTGGCATCAGTACTGTTACAGCGAAAACGGTGGGCAGGAGAACGTGGACTCTAGTAGCACTTGTACATTTCCTCACCATATCACTCTGCAGCAACTCCATGGTTGTCTTGTGCTCATCCATGGTTTTCTGTATTGCCTCCACAGCAAGGTGCACACTGTTTAGAGTATTTCCAATGGAAGCTACACTCTGAACGGAAACATGTAGTAAGGTGAGTGTTCCTTCTTTTTAAAAATTCTTAATAGCTTTATTAAGATATAAGTGATATACAACAAGCTGCACATATTCAAATGCGTGACTTTATAAGTTTTGACATGTATACACCTGTGAAATCATTACCACAATCAAGATAATAAACATCCATCACCCCTAAGTTTCCTCATGCCCCTTTGTAATTTTTCCCTCCCTGTCCCCAGGCAAGCACTGATCTGCTTTCTGTCACTATGTATCAATTTACATTTTCTAGAATTTTATATAAATAGAACTGGTGAGTGAGCAGGTACTTTTCTTTTTGGTATGGCTTCTTTCACTCAGCCTAATTGTTTGGAGATTTATCCATGCCGTACCTACTTGGCATGTAGCTGAGTAGCATTCTTTTATACGGATAAATCACAGTTTGTTTATTCACCTGCTGATGGACATTCAGGTTGTTTTCAGTATTTGATTATCACAAATAAAGCTGTTATAAACATTCATGTACAAGTCTTTATGTGGGCATATGCTTTCATTTCTCTTCATTATAAGCTTTCTCATCATCATAATACCTATGAGGTGAATGACTCATCATGTGGTAGATATATGCTTAACTTTAAGAAAAAAACTGCCAAACCATGTTCTAAAATGGTTATACTACTTTAAATTACCATTAGCAGCATATGAGGGTCCAGTTACTCCATACTCTCATCAATACTAGTACTCTCAGTCTTCTCAGTTTTAGCCGTTGCAGCAGGAGTGTAGTGGTATTGCACCATGATTTTACTTTACATTAAACATTGATCTAATGGAGGTCAGTGTTCCTAATTATTTCAACTATCTTCAAACTATGAATTTCATATAGCTTATACTGACACAATTAACAGGAAACTACATATATGTGTATATACATATATACACTCACACACACAGTTTACCTATCAATCAGTCAATAAATCACAAGCCATTTTCCCAATTTAAAAGACTTTCCCTAGAGGAAAACCAAATCTTTCCTTAAAAAAAACAAAGATACTAATTTATAAATTTGAGACCCACAGATAAGGTTCTCCCAGACTGCCTCTACTACCCCTGCTGTAGGCAGGCAGATGGCCAGAGCTAACGATGAAGACTGCCACTATGCCAGGAGCAAATGATGACTTTTGAGTGAAAATGGGTGGAACCATTTTTGGCTCTGGGAAATCTAGCATTGCAGAGAAAAAGGAAAAATTCCACCTGGCAGCATTTTTTGTTCTTCTACTTTAGAATTCCATCAGTAACTACTGAGCAGAGTTAAACATGGGTGATAGCTTACTTTGCTTTTATTAGGCCCAACGAGCTCAAGCGGACTGGGGACTTGGGAATATGATTCAGAGACCATCTCTTAAAAAAGGCCTGTCCTTTGGGGCCGGCCTGGTGGCGGAGCAGTTAAGTTCGTACGTTCTGCTTCTTGGTGGCCCAGGGTTCACTGGTTTGGATCCCAGGTGTGGACATGGCATAACTTAGCAAAAGCCATGCTGTGGTAGGCAATCCACGCATAAAGTAGAGGAAGATGGACATGGATGTTAGCTCAGGGCCAGTCTTCCTCAGCAAAAAGAGGAAGATTGGCAGTACTTAGCCCAGGGCTGATCTTCCTCAAAAACAAAGACCTGTCCTAAGGGAATATTCTAAAGAGTGTTACTATTTGGTGGGTGTTGGCCTTTTATTAAGATATACTGACAATTTTATAGTGTCACTCAGTATTTTTAACCAATGTCCTTTTTATTCTACTGATAGTCAAGATTCCAAGAGAATAAGAGATGACATTTTCAACATTTAAAAAAAATTACATGAGATACATTGAAGTTAGCCAGACCTGGTGATCTAGTGGTTAAGATTCAGTGCTCTCACTGCGTGGCTTGGGTTCGTTTCCAGGTCAGGGAACCATACTACCCATCTGTCAGTTGTCATACTGTAGTGGCTGGGTGTTGCCGTGACACTGAAAGCAGTGCCACTGGTATTTCAAATACTAGTAGGGTCATTGATGGTGGACAGGTTTCAGTGGAGTTTCCAGATTAGGAAGAAGGACCTGGCCACCCATTTAAGAAAAAATTGGCCAAGAAAGTCCTACAAATAGCAGCAGAGCATTGTCTGATATAGTGCCAGAAGATGAGAGGATGGTGCAAAAATACCAGGCAGGGTTCAGCTCTGCTGTACACAGGGCTGCTAGGAGTTACAATCAACTCAACGGCACTAACAACAAACAACATTGAAGTTAGGTAGTATTTGAGATGACTTACCACTTCAAAACTGAGCCACTTGTAATAAAAGTAGTGCCTGACACTATAAATGCACAGATTTGCAAAGAGACAACACACTGGGTAGAAGGCTCTAAGCTGGGATGTTATCTATGCCAGCTCTGTTGTTACAGAAGCTACAGGCATTCAAAGACACCTACTGTTAGAGAAGCCTCACTAGCTGGATGTATGAGCCAACTGGGATGCAAGAAGATAGTAAGCTCTTGTTTAAGATTTTTTTTAAGGAAGCAGCTGACAGAGCCATGTGAACTTTAGAGCAAATCCTGAAACTAGTACTCTCACCAACTGCAACGTGCCTGGCACATAGTGGAGGAACCTCCACAAATGTTTACTGAATGAAAGAATGCAAGAATAAACCCATTTCCTTTTCTAATGCAAGACCACCAGGATTGTTTCTGTATTAAAGGCTACACAGGCCTACCTTTTCCCACTAGGCCCTTGGGAACAATGGCAAGGAGAATTTGGCCTCATCAAAGTTGTCCCTACTTTTTTTTTTAAGCTGTAAGCAGATGACCATATTGGACAAATAGCAAACTATGGAGACTGAGAACACACAGCTAGGTGTGGCTATAAAAATAGCAAGTTTTGTTTCTGATTGTGCCTTAGGAATTTCTCACTCCCTTGTGGAAACAATTTATATGTTTAGAGAGCCTGGCATATAGTCAAATCAAACTTAACACACACTATCTTTTAAAAGTCAAAGATCCTAGATTTGATACCCATTGTTTGGGGTTCCCTTGCTCCAGAATCCCTTCTTCCATTTCCTGCTGTAGGGGCTGGTGTTGCTTATGCTCCAATTAGGCACCTTCTCCTTCCTACCTTATCCACTCACCCCACCCGGCTCTACGTATTATTCATCTGGTTGGTCACTGCCTCTTGCTCTAGGCCTGAATTCTAGGGATCAAACAAACAGAAATTCCAAATTATTGTTTGCCTAGGCCCTAGATTGTAGGGTATGTAACGTAGGAGTGACTTGCTTAGAGGATGTGCACTTTTACCTTCATAAAATAATATATATTGTTTTCTAAAATGCTTTTTACCAATTTATACTCCAGTAGGAGTGTTTGAAGGTTTCCTTTGCTCCACATCCTTGCCAATACTTATATCCTGAATTTTTAATTTTTGCATTTCCTCAAATTATCCTTTTAATTTTTTCTTAAAAAACCTCTTTCTCAATCATGGAAAAGAAAAGCAATTTAGAGCAACTCTCATGTACAACTGGTCTGTTTTCATGAAGATACTGTGGATGATGAACTGAAAAAGCGAGTGATGAAAAGCAAACCCGTATATGTTAAGACAGAGTCCCAGCAGAGCAATCCTGGAACTTGCAGAGCCAAATAAAAAGGTCTGAGTCCATCTCAAACCACAGCTAAAGTCACCTGTTACAAATGAAAGGCCCAACTAACCAGAACAAAACAGATGAACTCTCCAGAACACAGTGATATGCTCTAGTACTACCCTAGTGGAACAGTTGATTTCAAATGCCAGGCTGTCAAAGAAAACTTGTAAGAATCTAGAATTACCACAGTAGGTTAATCTCACCGCCCACACATATCACTTACCTTCTGAAGTCCCTCCACAGTGGCAGGCAGGCTAATTAAGTCTGCAGCTGACTTAACATTGGCTTTGAGGTGATTTACTGCAGAAGTCAACAGAGAAATCTGAAAGGAAAAGAGTAACAAAGAATGAAAATAGAATTTGTAGAGTGAATGCTTCCTTCACAAACTCTACAGTTGATGATGTCAAAGCACCCTTGGCTTTTACGTGTTTCTGTGATCCAGACATTATACCCGTTAGCTCACAGCAGCAGAGGAACTACAGTACCTTGGATAGACTTGAGATCTGGGAGGCAGCAATAATACCCTTTCTTTCCCTGCCCGATTTAAACACGAGTGCCAAAGAGGGAAAGGCAAGGATTATTCTTTATTTTACTCCTGGCAGTTACAAGATCCAAAAATCTTAAATTACCCAAAAGATGCAGTGATTACAACACAATCCTTCAACAATTGACAGGAAGAAAACTAATGATCAAGGACCCCTGAAAGATTTCATTTTAGTAAAAAATAACCCCTCAGTTATTTACTGAACTTTTGTTCCTGCCCAAGTGGGAACATATATTAGAAAGTAAAAGCCCATCACCACAAAATACAGTCTACAGGAACTGCACCCTGACAACCTGAGCAGCACTTTCAACTACTTGGAGATTTAGTTTTGGTTTAACAATGTGATTAATATTTCAAACTCTATAGCTCAACCAAAGCACTACTTTGTACCCTGAAGGGGCTCAATAAATACCCACTGACTTGCTGACTGATGCACTGACTGTATTAAAATAGGAATTGAATCAAAATAAAATGTGTCTTCTCTTCTGCTATTTAGGGGTAGAATTCTAAATAGCTGGACTTCTCTCCTGAACGGGGACTGAGGGAACCTTTATAATACGCACTTTCAGGCTGCAGATCATATTCTAACAACCTTGCAGTTTGGTTCAAAACATGCCTAAAAGAGTCTTAGTTCCAAACTGCTTTCCTGTCCCAAATTCTAGGATGAGGACACAAATCTGCCAACAGCAATTGTATTCAAGGTGACCTCACAGAGTAACCACTGAAGTTTCTGGGCAGTTGTTACATGTTGAACACTGCTGTAGGCACCAGACAGATATAAGACAAAGTCAATTCGATCCCTGCTCTTTCCTTCAGCAAACGCTTGGCTTCTTCCCTGCGCCAGGCACTGTGCAGGGATTGAGGAGACAGTGGCAAACAAAACCATGAGGTTTTACTCTCATGGAGCTTACACCCTAGCAGAAGGTGACAGAAAAAAAAGGAAGTAAAGTATCGGGTAGTAATCAGTACTACACAAAGAATTTAAATTGAGCTCCTAGAGCAGCCGCAGTGTGTTCTGAAAAAGGGAGTCCAGTGAGGAGGCCAGGAACTCAGGGACTCAGGTTCTCTTCTCCTTCTTTCCTTTTAGGAGGGATGAAGACCATTTTTCATTCATTCATTCATTCATTCATTCCATTCCAGCAACAAATGTTTACTGAGCCCTATTTTATACCAGTGGCGAACAACACAGATGTCAGTGATCTTGTGATGGTTACATTTTATTGCAAGGAGACCGACAATTTTATATAAGAAAAATATCAGACAGTGTGCTATGTTAGAAGAAAACGAAAATAAGGTGATTTGATAAGTGACTGGGTAGCTACTTTAGATTGGATGGTCAGAGAAGGCCTCTATAACGAGATGAAATTTAAACTGAGATCTTAATAATAGGAAGGAAATAATCAAACAATGATTGAATGAAAGTACATTTCAGGGCAGAGGGAATTGCTAGGGCAAAGGCCCCAGCGCAGGGAAGAGCTTGGCATATCTGAAGAATAGAAAGAAGGCCTGGTGGCAAGAGCATATAATGTGAGTGAGAACGGAGAGGCAGAGGGGCGAGGATGGGGAGGGAGAGGGTAGAGGTAGGTGGGTAACTGTAGAGAAACAATTGAGTACTAAATGTGATACTGAATAAAGCTCCCAGAAAAGAATATTAGTGCAGGCTGAAAGGGACAGGCTTCACCGGAGCAGGACTCAAATTAGACTCCGATGGAGAAGACAGAGTTCTAGATATAAAAATAAAGCAGGTATTCTTTCTAGGTTAGAAGGGTGAGTGTGGCATGGGGGAACAGGTAGGGAGCAACAGCATGAACAGGCCCAGGAATAGTTTTTCTTCAAGGTATTTCTCAAAGTGACAATGATTTGTTTATTTGTGTGATTAATAAGGTTTCTCTCTTCCACTAGACTGTATGTTCCATGTCATCAAGGACTATATCTGTTTTATTTTCCATAATATGCCTGCCACAAAGACAGGCATTCAATAAATATTTACTGAATGAATGAATGGCCGAGAATGAACACTCTGTGTCTGGGATGGACATTGCGAAGGCCAATCCAAGCAGAGCAGAGGGTAGAGGCCAGGAAGTAGGTGATAAGGCTAGATAAGTAGTGAACTCATTTTTCTCACCAGTAAAATGGATAGAATAATAACAACTGTTTAACAACAGCCATCTCGTAGGAATGTGTGATGATTTTAAAGTATGCCTACAAGGGCTGGCCCCGTGGCCGAGTGGTTAAGTTCGTGTGCTCGGCTGCAGGCGGCCCAGTGTTTCGTTGGTTCAAATCCTGGGTGCGGACATGGCACTGCTCATCAAACCACGCTGAGGCAGTGTCCCACATGCCAGAACTAGAAGGACTCACAACGAAGAATATACAACTATGTACCGGGGGGCTTTGGGGAGAAAAAGGAAAAAAAATAAAATCTTTAAAATATGCCTACAGATTCTTTGATAGTCCTCCCTTCAAGAGGTAGAACCTCATTCCCTTTCTCTTGAGTGTGGCCTGCATTTAGTGACTTTTTTTTAGTCCACAGAACAGAATGGAAGTGACAATGGGCAACTTTGGAAACCAGGTCATAAAAAAACACTATGGCTTCCTCTTTGTCTCTCTCTGGGATCACTGCTCCAGGAAAGTCATCTGCCATGTTGTGAGAACATTCAAGCAGCCCCATGGAAAAGCATACATTGGGAGAAACTGAGACCTCCTGCCGACAGCCATGTGAGTGAGGATCCTCCAGTCTCAGTCTAGCCGTCAGATTACGCAGCCTTGGCCTATATCGTAGGCAACTTTAGAGAGATCCTGGCCAGAACTGCTCAATTAAGCTGCTCCCAAATTTCTAACGCACAGAAACTATCAGATAATAAATGTTTGCTGTTTTAAGTGATTAAGTTTTGGGAAAAATGTAACACAGCAACAGATGACTAAAACAGGCTATGAGGATTAAATGAGATATATAACTAAAGCTCTTAGCACAGTACCTGGTATAAACAAAATATCAAATAGGTGTTAGCTCTTTAACAGTGAAATTTAATAAGCACTTAAACATGCAGTTCTCCATAAGTGCTCCAAAATATTCAGACTCATCTTCAACATTCCAACTCTACCCACTTAAAAACAAAATGGGTGAGAAACCTCTGCCCACAGAGAGATACTCTCAGCAAACTATAAGCCTCTTAAGAGTAGCGATTACATCAAGGTTTTAACCTCTTTTTAACTTTAAAAAGATATGCCTATCAAGGTTTGTAAAGGACATAAGGAAATAGGCATTCTCATACATAGATCGTGGGAATGTAAATTGGAGAAGACTTGTTAGAAGGTTATCTAGGAGTATCTGTCAAAATTTGAAATATTTATATATTTTAATTCAGCAATTTCATTTCTAGAAATTTATCCTAAAGATTACTTGCTCGTGTACACAAAGACATATGCACAAGACTATTCATTGCATCCTTATCTGTGACAACAAAACACTAGCAACAATCTAAACGTTTACCACTAAGGATGTAGAAATATTCAGTGAACAAAACAAGCGGTAGAATAATATATACAGAACGACTCCATTTAGTTACACTTACACACACTAACCCATTAGCTAATTCATATTAAAAGCTACTATGATTTTGTAAATGCAGAGAAAGGTGACCAAAAGAATGCAGCCCAGACTACTGACAGAGGATACCTACGGGGACAGGGAATGTGTATGTATGTGTATGTATATGTGTGAGAGATGGTGGCACATACAGAGATATAGAGGGTAAAGGGGGAATTTTCATAAAGCTCTATGTGTATTTTATTATTTAAATCTTATATAAGAATACATTCACATATCACTCATGAAATTTTAAAGAAAAAGATGGGAGAGGAACATACACATAAGTAAAACATATCACAAAACTTTAAAAAGGGCTGACAGATTTCCTTGTCTGGCCTTTTCTTCCATGCCCTCTACTGGGTTTCCTAAGACTACGTTAACATGCTCAATGATAAAGTGCTAGGAAGGGGTTCCTGCCCCAGGTATGTTTTACTCAGTGGCCTCAAGTATGTACATAGTTGGCTCTAGACCAACTTGATGGGCAAGAATATGGTTATTCCAAATGCCCTATCAATTGTGTGGTTACCTCTTGGCCATCTGAGGGAATAAATTCCTTTCACTGATAACTGGCCAGATCCTTAAAGGAACAAACTGTTCTAGGTGGAACGATCTGGGTAGAAACTATTCTCCCAGGCACTGCAATATCCTGAGGCTACAGCAGAGCCGGATACTAATCAGAAGTATCTCAAGACTAGTAATGGTTTCACAAATGGCCAGTGTAGTTGGTTGGCAGATACCATTTCACCCCAAATCAGAGGAGCAGTTGAGAGCCAATGCATACAGGGTAAGGTGAGGTCTGCTTCACTTCTCCCCATCCCCAACACTCCACACCTAGGGTAACAGCTGCCTCACTGAAAGAGTACACCCTGAAGAGCTGACCATTAACTCCCTAATTACCAAACATTGCTCAGCACTTCTTAGTCACTTATAAGACATGGACCACACACTCGTCACTAGGACTCAGTTACATTCCCATAAACCACAAAGCTGGATTCCATCTTTTAGCATGCTTCTCTTAGCAATGGAATAATGCCAAAATCTATGGAAAAGTACAGCAAAGCTACATGTGTAACTACAACGGAGAGACAAGGGGCACTCCCCCATTACTATCTCTGGGACTGCTCTGGTCTACGATAGACACATTGTAGAATGTCAGATTGGATTCAAGCATTACAGAACTTATCTTTAAAAGTTACACACTGCATCTCAAAGAGTCTAAAAATTTGAATTAAGGAGAAGACATTATGAAAAAACCCCACATTCCATCCAAAAGATGAGTCATGACTTTTATGCATATTACATGACTTTTCATTAGCAAAATTAAAAATAGCTCCTGTAGACCATTTGCTTATTAGACTGTTTTATACTATAAAGTCTGAGATGCTGCGTTTTTGCTTTTGGGTTAAAATTAAGTGTTCTTTAAATAGTAAGTAAGTAAAAAAGTTACTAAAACAGACACTCATCAATGACGAATGATTATGAGCCCTACTAGAAACCTGACATCACATCCTTTCAACCTTATCTACTAAGCACATACTGCATCCTATAGAGGATATAAAGATGGAAGGCAGCATGGAAAACTGGAAAGAAAACAGGCTCCCAGGACTTGAATATTTTAATACTAGCATGACTACACAGCTGTGTAACCTTGGGCAAACTACTTAACGTCTTTATTTTTAGTGAGGAAGATTGTCCCTGAGCTAACATCTGTGCCAGTCTTCCCTTATTTTGTATGTAGGACACTGCCACTGCATGGCTTCATGAGTAGTGTGTAGGTCCGAACCCGGGATCCAAACCCTGGGCTGCCAAAGTAGAGTGCGTGGACTTAACCACTTACACCACTGCGCCAGCCCCTACTTAACTTCTTTGAGCCTCAGTTTTCCTATCTGTAAAATGGGACACCATCTCCTACTTCATAGGACTATAGAAGCAAAATAGGAGATCTTATATGTAGTGCATCTAACAGTGGCCTGCGCAAAGAATGGCCTGCATTTAATGAATGGTAGTTATCATCTTAATTACCATTATCATTGTTGCCATCATCAAGCTCAAAGCTCAGAGTACAGTGTACAAGCTTTTAGTGTAATAGGATGCATACACAAATAACTATCACATAAGGTATCTGGACAAATGCCAAAAAAGAGATACAGAGCAGACTGTAGAAGGGCACTCAAGGTCCTTCTTGATATGGCTCTTGCTGACACAGCCTTACTTCTGGCCTCTTTCTACCAAACTATAGCTATCACAAATAAACTACTAAAATTCCCTGAACATGCTGTGTTTTTCATTTGTCTATGCTTTTGCACATACTGTCAACTCTTGTTATTCACAGTAGTTACGTTCTAGAAAGCTGCAGCAAACATTGCATTAGTGAATACTGAACCATTGCTCCTAAGGGAAGTACAGGGTTAGGTTCCTGAGAGCCCTCTGGTCACAACATTTTCGTCAACTGATCAGTTAATATATAACCTTGTTTTACATCTGTCTCTGTTTAAAGATATCTTATTTAATATCTATTGCTGAACTCATGCCTGAATAAAGTTTATCTAACACATGTATTTTTTCTGTAAGGCATATCATAGCCTTCTTGCACTTCCGAATACCAGATAGTACGTCATTCAGCACTATGCTAAGGGGACATTTTACACAGTGGAATCACCAACAAAAAGCACAAAATTGCGAAAAATGTGGCACTAAATATACGGTGAAAAGGAAACTTGTTTACAGTACGAGAGCTGAAACAAGGCAGGGTGTTGCATTGTTTGACCTCAACTGGAAATGTTCCTGTTGGGTGACTCAAATTTTTTGCTACTGTATGACTGTCAGTGAATGACTTTGAAAGTGCCACAAGTATAGATTTTTGGGTTACAAACAAATTTTAGCAAGTAGGTAAATTCACAAATACAGCATCTGCAAATGATGAGCATCAACTGTACTGTTTTACCTAGAACGCCCTTCTCTCTTTCTGCAGAATTCACCTGGCCAATCCTGTTTGCTCTTCAGGACTCAGCTCAAGATATCTGAAAAGCCTTGTCTGGGTCAGATACACACCTATAAATGCCCCCATGGTCCTCACATGGGCCTGCTTCTCAATGCTCATCAGTCTGTTTTACAATTGTTTACTTTTCCATCTCCTCCATTTGACTGTAAGAGCTTTGAGGGCAGGAATCACATTTTTTTTTTGGTTTTGAATCCAAGGCCTATCTCCATAAAAGCAGCTCATTAAAAATTTGTTGAATTAACGGTCTTCAAAGAAGGGAGATGAGACTCCCTACAATGGTTGAGAATGGGTATGGGTATGAAATCAGAGGCTTCATGAAAAAAACAGAGAAGGAAATGAGATTTTAACTATTAGTTTAAAGATTTTCAATGCAAAATTTGATTTAACTTATTTCAAACTAACGGCTTTTTTTCCAGGCTGCATTAACTTCAACTCACACTGTGATAAGGACAGTTCTCGTTAAGTGATAAGGATAGTTCTTGTTAAGTGATATAATACATTTTCTTGTTTAAGCCACTTTGAATTGCTTTTTCAAAAAAAAATTTGCCACTAAAAGCATCTTAATTGACAGAGTTTCCCTTAGATATAGAAACACGGTTAAATATTAATTTTATTTTTATACCTATTTTGGTTTGGACAAATGCCTCTTACTTGAATAGACCATCAGAGATGTGTAATGTCAATTTTAGAGAATCACTCAAACAGAGAGTGATGAGCTCCCTTTGGACCAACACAAAGTTCTACTTCATCACCACCTCTCCTTTTGCACCCACGCCAGCAGAGACTTCCTCTGCATCAGGTTGGTTTCATCAATCAGTTCCATCATCTCTAAAGATCTACTGAAGCTAAAATGGAAAGGGTTTCAGTTTAATCTCTCCCAGTTTATAGATGAAACCCTAGAATTGAAGTAAACTTTCATGTATACTTATTTTACCAGGTACTTCTTGCATTAAAAATAACAGCCAGGCCAAGAAAAAAATGATTCTTTCATTTCCAGATTCCTGGTCAAGGCGAACGTGAACCAAAATATGTAGCAAAGATTTGAAAACCTGTGTGTCCTGTCACACCAAATAGCAATTTACCCTTTGACTCTTCCCATAATGCTGATTTACAAGCAGATGGGAAATAGCTGACTTTCCCTCTTCACCCTGAAAGGTCTCATCCTCGCCTCAGAACAGTAAACTCCATGACTGACTATTGAAATGGAATCCATGGTTTGCCCCAGTCAAAGATGCTAATTATGTCTCATTGCTTCACTGCGGTCTATTTTCACTTGATGTAATCTCTGGCCAAACTGCTCATTTGCTCTGTGAATACAAGAAAGGCCACAGTTTATCCTATTCTTTTTGAAAAAGGAGTGAATATCTGATTTTCCCTCATTACTGAGAGCCCAAAGATAAATGATAATGAGTAAATACTAGGTGGTATAACCCATCAATTATTTCATGAATAATTTAAAACAATGAATAGAACTGAATAGAAAATATCATAAGGCATCATAAGACTAAGGGTAAGCAATTGTTTTCAGAAACTTTTATTTCAGATACACATATATATGGATGTGTTTATTGGGTAATGATGTAAAACATTTCTTACTGTGAGTTCCAGGCAAAAATCTGAAAGCCACTGTACCCAGCCATTGACCTCTGATCTTAAGAGCTACTCTACTCCTGCACTACCACTGGAAGGTGGAGGGTAGCTTTGGAAATATCTGTAAGCACTTGATTTTAGCACAGTGCTCCCTGCCACTGACTGATTCTGAACTTTGTTACTCCATTCTGAAGAAGAGAATATCCTCCTAGCCCCAACAAGGATGGCATGTCTATTTTTAAGCCCTTTGCAAGTATACCACCCATTTGGTACTTGAGTTTTCTTTGCAATGCACATCTTTCCTAACTAAACTGAAATAACTGAGGACAGGGACTATAGTTACCCAGTAGCAACACCGTACCTTATACATACAAGATGCTCAGTTAACATCCTTTAAATAAGCCCTTTTCCTCTGGCAGAGTCAGAGGAATCAATACCTACTGAGATCTGGCCAATTTAGGGACTGGAAAAGTTTTTGCTCTAGGCTTGCTTGCCTGGCCAAGGTATTTAACAAACTCTGTCACCTCCTCCTATCCTATTCTAGAATAACTATGATTAGCTGTTGATGGTTTCCAGATTTGTTTTAGTATATTGTATAGCACTATACCGCAAGGCTGAATCTGTATGTTTATAAACTCTATTAAACAAAATAATTCTCATTACCTAATAAAAACAGGCTACTTACTTTTCTTGGGAGTTAGATGACACTCTCTTTTTATTTGATACTAATACTGCTCCTTAGGACGAGTTTACTCAAGAATTTCCAGCTCCCTCTAAACAACTCTACGTGGTACAATTGTTCCTTTGCAGAAAGGGCTAATGTTTTAAATATTTGGTAAATGCACAACTATTACCTTAATTTTACCTGACTTTAACGTGTTGGGATCATAATATGCAAAACACCATTTCAAAAAGTAAAACAATCTGAAGTGAGTTCCCTATACCTACAAATTCATACTAAACAAACAAAACTATTCATAGCTTACATAGCAATAAAATCACACTTTTGCTACCTGCTTATTCATTTCTGTGATGTTTATCCAGACTCTGTTCAAGCCCAGCTCTCCAGATTCAATCTTCTCAAGCTGTTTTTGTTTGCCGAGTAGTTCTTCATTAAGTTTGGGAATTTCTTGGAATGAGCTTTTCTGATTAGATTCCACTAGAGGCAAAAACAAGAATAATCATAAATAGCCATAAAGTTCCCTCATGGCTCCAAGAAGAAAAAATGATCATGTAGTAGGAAAAAGATAGATTAATAAAAGTTAATTCTGGGAGGACAGTAAGTGAATACATATCAATCAACTACACTGTTCTTTTATTTGTGTAAGCTCAGTTTCCTCATCTGTAATACAGAGTTAACTATACTTTACAGGACTTTTAGAATTAAGTGAAAGACCGGCTGTAAAGTTCTAAATACACAGGCCAGGCATATAACAAGTGACAAACAAATTTAAGTATTGACCAACTCAATTAAGGAGCCTTTTGATTAGTCAATGAAGATTTATGAATCTCACTCTATTGATGCTCAAGGTGATAGCATAAGTTCTATTTCTAAATGCTGACATCAATTTTTTTCTATCTCAAATTGGTTAAATCAAGGTGGGTTCTTACTACCTTTCAAATACTGTTATGAAAACTAAGATTTTAATCTTTTTCATAAACAGCAAACAATCTTTTCTTAAATCTTAAATCAACCCAAAAGCTCAAAGTGAAATAGAAGATAAAGGAACACGTTGGGTGAGGTATAGAGTGATATCTGGCCTTTCCTTTGGGAAATAATATCTCCTGAATGGTTTGGAGATTTGATAGCTTGAAGGCAGAGGCCTGAAAGAGGGCTTCCTCTTCTTTCTTTAAAGACTATTTTTCTTTTTCATGGAAAATAAAATATTGATAATGGCTGGTCCTCCAGAATAAAACCTACATAATTTTTCTGAAAGCCACAGACTGCCTGATTAGTTATATATGCTTTCTTTAAAACCAAAAATTAGCATAAAGGACAGATATAAAACAATTTACTAAAATGTAAGCTCCAAGAGTTTTTTGTCCATTTCTGTATGGTCAGCACTTAGAATATACCTGGCACATTTTACACACTCAGTAAGTATTACTGACTGAATAATCCTGGCCCTTGCTTACCTCTCAAACCTGTTTCTCATCACTCTACCTACCTCTTCAATCTACTTTTCAGCCAAGTGGATTTTCCTGACACACCAGCCTCTTTAAGCCTCAGTGACCCTGCACATTCTATTTTTTCTCCCTAGATGCCCTTGGTTTGCCCCTTCTTCATTTCTGCCACCGTAGCCTAGTTAATTCCTTTCAAGATTCAGCACAAATAGCTGAGCCTACCTTGGACCACTACCGCCTCTTTATCACTCCTAACTCTACCAATCATTTAACACTGTGCTGTAATTAGGTGTTAGTCGTCACCAGACTAACAGCTGCTTGAGGACTAGGACCAGGTCTTATTTGGTTATGCATTCCCAGGGCCCAGCACAGTGCCAGGTACACAGAAGCACTCAAATGCTTGTCCAGTGAAATGACTGCAGGGTATGAAATGGAGTTAATGTTAACCTATTAAGTCAAACAAAGAAAACTCAACAAATAAATAAATAAACTCAACAACAAAAAAATCCCCACGAGAATTGGGGGTGGTAGTGGTATCCTTACTGCAAGCAAACTCACTATCTGAAAACTCAGCGTTAAAAGAAATTTGATATTTTCACTTTTCAAAAATACATGCTAAAGGATTTCTTTATAAATAGTAGACTTCTCTAAGTGCTTCTAATGTAACATTTGATTTACACATGGTTTGCAGGAGTATATCTATCTCATTCAGTAAGAACATTTTACGTCAGTCTAAATTAACGCTACACTTAGCATTTCACTGAATTTCCTATACATCTTCAGTTAGGTTGTACAGAAAAACTTATCCCACACATGTCTGCCATTCTCAGGTGGTCAAACATCCCAAGGGAGAGCCTCTCTCTTTCCTGCAGTGTATATGAATTAATAGAAGGTAGAATTGGAAGACGAAGTAAGAAATACATAAACAACTTAGGTTACAATTATTAACTAATAAACATATAAAGCTGATAAGCCCTGAAAACATTCTGGATCCTGAGGATTGTATGAGCCAAGAGGGGATCATAGTCATTATCTGATTTGGGGCTTTTTAGGACAGATAAGCCCAGTAAAGACACTTTGATTACATAAACGGGAGGAAGTACAGCAAACAAACAACTTACAATTACTAATTCATGTTCTTTCAACATGGAAAGCAACTCATTTAAAAGAACTTACTTAACTCTTTTCCTGATCTTCAAGATAAGGAAATGGAGATTTCTGCATACATCCCTCAGACAGAACATACGATGCTGACAGCAAGATTTCATATTTATACGTCTTTATAGTTTGCAATAAACTTTTACGTAATTATTCCACTTGTTATGGAGCCTCTACCATGTGCCCGGCCCTGTATCTGGCACTAGTGCATACAGAAGACCCTGAAGCGCTCAGTCTAGAGGGAAGCGAGGCCTTGTGACACAATTACTATACAGTGTGACAGATGTTACGACAGAGGAATGTTCTACGTGCTTTGGTAGCACAAATACATCTTTATGTTTCATGGATGGGAAAATGAAGGTGCAGAAAGAAGAAGCGACTTGTCCAAGTTTTACAGCTAGTAATGAGAAAGCCAGGATTTAACAGTCAAATCTTCTGCTTCTAGGACCAGCACTCTTTGTAGCATGCTCCAGCTGTCACAGACATGTACATCCTAATGTCCTCATTAGCAGAAGACCATTCTTAAGTTCTGTACTAAATGACCCACCTGATACTCTGCCTGTACGACCAGAAAAGGAGATGCCTGATTTAGTAATACTTTCCTTCTTTTCCAAATTCTTTTCCTTCACTCTAGAATTTCATAGTTGAGTGACAGAGATAGATGGTTGGAAATAGAATCTTCCTCAGAATAACTGTGGAGGTGTTTTGAAGTACCTGGTTCTGGAAAAAGAATACTGAGCTAAGAGTTTCAAGGCCAGCCAGTACTTTTAGCTTAAGAATCAAGTTACTCTTGACCACAAGGCAAAATATCAAGCCTATCTGCTTTGTTTCCTATTTCACATATTTCAGCAATCTTGCCTGCTTTTCCTCACAAGTGTCTCAGAAAATTTATTGCAATAAGAACAAGGGGATCTGAATTTCTTAAAAAGGAATTACAGCCAGATCAGCAGATGGTCTTATTGGAGTGATCCAATAAGAGGACTTCCAGTGTCCTCTTGAAAAACAAGAAATAAAAATTAACTTGTTGAAATATATTTAAAGCAGAAGCATAATTCAAAGAAAGATTATTTAAGCTTAATAAGACTGACCTCATTTAGTCAACATAATGGTTTTCACTAAAATCTCTTGAGCAAGTAGTCCAAAATGGTTCAGCCTATGGACTGACTATGCCCCAGGCCCCACTCCCATCTCCCTCAGGAAGTTCCGCTTTACACATTACAGGTGCTGGAATTTCTATTGTAGCAGACTAAAGCCAAAAATCAGCTGGACTAACAATTCTAAATCCGCTTCATTCAGCTGGTTGACAAATGCAGTCAGGGTCTCAGGAGAATGCTGCTCACTGATAGAAAGCAGGTCTCACAGTCCTGGGTATGATTCCTGGCATCTCTTGAATATAGTATTTCCAGGGACTGGTATTAACAAGTGCTCAATAAATATTTGTTGACTGATTAATTACCAGGTCTATTACATGTATACATTTTAAATATGCATTTCTAAACAAATTCCCTGAAAAGCTCAGCTGAGGTATAAATTACATGAGTGTCCTGCAAACATAGGCACAGAGCAGTCAGAGACAGGAATCCCTGGAGGGTAGAATTAAGAAATGTTTTGAAATGTATAAACAAATAATTGCTATATGTGATCAAAACAAGCTGTAACGCAAACCTAGAAAGCCCAACTAATTACAGAGAGATGATGGCACAGATGGGTGTCTTCAGAGGTTAGTTACAATTAAACATTGTTTCTGAGAACCTCATTTCCAAGTCATGCTCACTACTTACAAAGAAAATATTAACCTTAAAAACACCTGGCAATACTGCTAAGGACAACCATTAGAGGGAAAATAACTAGAATATAAATCCCATGCTTTCTTATACTGTACTCTGATTCATCAGTTGATAAAACGTATAGGTCAGGATGATTCTGTCAGAGAATTATGGCTTATCCAATGTTATTACCTGAATCAGAAGCTCAGAAGAAAACCAAAGTTAGTGTTTCAACATTTCTTTTCAAGCAACATCACTAGGAATGTCATTAAGACACTAAGGAGGATTAGCTGTCTCCAGGTCAGTTCGGAACTTGAATAACTGCAGGCAGCAAAGAGAAGCTGGAGTGAAGAGAAGCTAAGATGTTGTGATCTCCTAAGGCTTAAGATGAGAAGTAAACAACTCTAATTTCAGTTCTGGGGCCAGACTTCCTTATGACCTTGAGAAAGCCTAGTGGTCAGTTTCCTGGTGTGCTAATACTGCTAAAGGTTAGAGTATTTGTGATTAACTTGAAACTGGTTCCTTAGCTCACTGAGACCTAGAACCAAAGATCTCAGTGTTGCTAAAGGAAGATGGTTAGGTTAAATCTGGCAGAAGTTAGTATGCAGACACATTTTTCAGAAAAAGTACTTTGGATGTGAAAATATAACTTTTTAATTTAGAACATATAAAATTCTTCAGCTCAAGAAAAGTCTCAAACTTTAAAACTCACTCATGAGACAAATATTTATTTGTGATGTGGCACACGGTATACCTTCCATAAATGTCATTATTATTATTGCCCATTCCTATGGTCTTATATGGTTTTCAAGGAGGAAACTGTTTGACACACTCCCACATTCTTTCTCAAATGACCCTGTGGGGAGGAAGGAAAGAGTCCAGTGTTCCTATTGCTACTTTATACTAGGGGAAGTGACAACAGGTGGAGGTTAACCAAGGTTCTAAACTCCTGGAGCTTAGCGCTTCCCTTCTGGACCTCAAGCATTGACAATAGTGCCATTATTTCAGACACTATTTGTCCTGACGGTGCATAAGCACCGTTTTTTTCTTTGCGCGTTTAAAAACAAATAACTGTTACCCCATTGAAACTGATGGCTAAGAAAGAGCATACAAATGCTGGAAAAATGTATAATTGCTTCATCAGCAGGCAACTTCATTCAGCACAATCTACTTTGTCCTAGAACCTGGAAAAGAATCCAAGATTATACTCTGAAATGGGCAACCACTTACTTGTTCTAAATTTTTCTTTGAGGGCATCCAGATCCTCCTTCAGAGCAACCTGCATCCACACCAAGCCAACGCAGGCCACGACACAGGCGGCAAGGATGACAAAAGCACAGAGGGGATAACAGATCTTGCAGCATCGTAAATAGTCTCCCCTGGTCATAAGAACAAATTCAACCAGGAATACAAACGTGATTATGAGTACAGCTTTATCAGAAATAGCACACATGTGTTGCCATGCAATTATCTTCTCTGATGAATAACCAGCTGATTTTCCAGGAAAGACAGGGTAACACGCTTACATCCGAACAGCAAGTTGAAAATGACTAAGTAATATGACCTATGAAGTGTTCATCTATTGGGTACAAAGGTTTCAAACCTTAGGTGAAACAGAGGCAGCTCCTGCAGGCCACAGGAGGCACCTGTGGGCACCGCAGTTCACTGCCACCATCATCAATTCAGGTCTTTGGAAACAAGCTCAGGTTAGGAAAGTGTCAAGACCACAGCTTCTCTGCAGTTCCATCAGGGTACTGGGATTTACCTATCTATTTCTCTCTCTCAGATACATACTCACTCCAGGGGACCTTGTTTCAGTTTATAGAAACTTCATAAACTTGAGCAAGTTTTACTGCAAATGGAATGAAAGAAACAGGAATTGCAGGTTTAAGTGGACACCTGTGCACTCTAGCTTATCGGCTCAGAAGGAAGGAAACACAGAAAGGGGTTAGATTTCACAGCAAACTTCAACCAGCACTCGGGGTCTTATCTAACCCAACAGGACAACTATTCCAGTGGAACTATTCTACTTCATCAAATCTTCACAACTAGGATTGCCCTTAACTACCTATCTGGCAAAGCTCATTAGAAGCTAAACTCTTGCTTTAACAAAATAAGGGACACAGACACTCTAAATAAACAAACCTCAAACAAAGCATTCAATCTCTTCAGCACTCCAAACTTCTGCTTCCAACCTTGCTTCCACATCCTCAGCAGAATACTCTTTTCTTTTAATCTACTCCCTGATAGGGTCCAAGGGCACCTTCAAGGTCCCTTCAGCCCTTTCCCACCCTGAGCCCCAATTCCCAATGTCCTCAGTGCTCACTACTGCATTTGTCTAGTGGCTGCACCACCTACAAGTGGTTTGGAGAAAAGCTGTCTCTTCTTTTTGTCCCCCACCCTTCATGACTCTCAAGGTTCATACTTTCTACAGTATGTCCCTCACCACATTCTCCCATCACCAAGATTCAGACTCATCAAGAGTGCAAAAAGTAAATAATGTGCAGGTCCTAAGGTCCCTGTTTCTCTTCTACTTAAAAAAAAAAAAAAGGCTGGTTCTAAAAGCTTTTCTGCTCCTATGTCCCTATTCTTAGCTTCTTTGCTCCTCCCAGATTGGTCTCTCTGGGCTCTTGGCACATTCCCCAAGCGCACACTACCACCCTAGATTCAGAGCTCTTCTTTGTACGGCTGGAGACAGAACTCTACTTATCCTTCATTCAGAATCTGAACTCATCTTCTCCTTAACATCTTTTCTCCCTCTTTGCCTTCCAAGGTCTACACCTTTTTTCTTCCCAAGAACCCCCTTCTTCCGTTCCATTTGTGCCCCTGGTGGTGCAAGGAGATGCCTTTTCCCCATCCCGCTCCTCACATCACTTACTTGACAAAGCGGGAGCGATTTCCACCTACACCGAATTCTTCTTCCTCCTCTGAGCTGGACTCAGAGGCTGAGTCAGGAGGCTCAGTGCGAAGCAGGCGGTGGCCTGAGCCCTTCTTGGGCTTCTTTCTTCGGCTGTCCCCAGCCAAGCCAATCAATGCATTGAGCTCCTTGCGCTTTTTCATCTTCTTGTGTGGGGTGAGTGGAGCACCCACTCCGGAGCTGCCCGGTTCGTACCCGAAGCCCAATTCTCTCGCTGCCTTGGAGCTGCCTTCCAGGGTGAGGGATCCTGGGCCAGAGCCCACCGGTCACTCCCACCCAGGGGTGGGACCGACCAGATCCGCTGAGGGCTGGAGATTGGAGCCCAGAGGAAACTGGAACTCAGATGGGTGGGGGAAGTCACATAGAGATGGCCAAGAAGCTGGTGATCCAAACGGATAAGGCCCTGAGCATGGAGTGTCAGTTAGTTAAGAGGGTGTTAAGGGGGGGGGGGGGCAACCTTTGTCTCCCAAAGGGGATAAGAAGCCAAGTCAAGAACGAGAGATTCTCAGCCCTGATAAGTAGATAATATTTCTAAGCGTGCTCCAGGAATTGGGGAAGGACACACAGATGAGTGTTTTGGAGTTCCGGGGCAGGATTCCCAATCGATAGGGAAAAGAAACTTGTTCTTGAACGGGAGGAGAGGGGGAGGTGCACAGCGAGACAAGGAACGCGCTAGTCCCTCCCTAGCTGGACAGGTGGCAGCAGGAGGGGGCTCCCAGTCGCTACAACCCCGACACAGCCTGGACGCCGAGAAGATGCCCGGGTCTGGAGTGATCGCCGTCCTCCGTCCTGAGTTTGAAGGGAGCCTGAGACCGAGGAAGACCCAGAGCCCGGCTCGGAGGGCACGGGCTGAGAGGAGCCAGTCCTGCGCCCGGGGAGACCCCAGCCCTGCTGTCTGGGCCTGGGGGTGAGGTGCGGAGGGGCGACGGCGGCTCAGCCACCTGAAGCGCTCCCACCTAGAGTCTGAGGTGTTCCGGCACCGGCGACTCTCGGCAACTCACATGCGCCGCCTCCACTCCAGCCGCGACTCCGGCCCCCGCTCCGGCTGCGGCCGCGGCTGCTCCTGACGCGCTGGCGGCTGCGGCGGCGGCGGCCGCGGGCTCCGGACCCGGGCCATTGCTCCAGCCCCAGCTCACTTCCCCTTTGGCAGCGGCCGCCGGCGCCGCCTGCCAGTAAGCCGCGCTCCCATTGGTCACCTGGCGAGTGACGTCACACCCGGGAAGAGGGTGGCGGCGGGGAGGCGGTTGGGGAGGCTCCGCCCCCAGAAGGCCACCTGAGCCGCGCCGCTCGCCTGAGGAGGACGAGGGTTTCGTTTCCGACGAGCGGGGAGGCGGAGTGGGCGAAGCGGTCAGCTGCTCGACCTACTTGGAAAGTTTGTTAAGCGTCCGGGTCCCCAGTTGTGACCTGGACTTAGCCAGCCTGGGTGTTCCGCCCCTCTGAGTCACATGCTGTTTATTAAAACTTTAGGCGTGTTACAGATTAATGATTCAGTTGAGCACATTCATTCATTCCATAAATATTTACTGAGAGCTTACTCCGTGTCAGGAGCAGTTCCACCGCTGGGGATACGGCAAGGAACAAAATAACTACCGTCCCTGCGTTCTTGCGTAGGCTTGCCGGATTTAACAAATAAAAATACGGGCTACCCAGTAAAGTTTGCATTTCAGATCAACAACGAATATTTTTTCAGTATAAGTATATCCCATGCAGCATCTGGGACCTCTTCATACTGAAAAAATCAATTCTTTTTTTTTTTTATCTGAAATTCAAACTTAACTGGGTGTGGTGTATTTTATCTGCCAACCCTATTCCTACAGCTTATATTCTAGTGAGAGCAACGACAGGCAAGCATTTCAAATGTTCTGAGGTGATAAGTGCTATCAGGAAAATTAAAACCAGATAAGGGGATGGGGAGTGCCTCTGAGATAAAGGGACTTTTGGTTAGAGACTGGGAGGAAGTGAGGGAGTGAGTTGTGCAATGGTCTTCAGGAAGGAGTGACCTGGAAGACCTGGTGTGGCTGGACCTGAAGAGCAAGAAGGAGGCGAGCTGTAGGAAATGAGGTCAGCCAAGCATCATGGGCCAGACAGTGAAGGGCCTTGTGGACCACAGTAAGGACTTGGGGAAACCATTGGTACTTTAAGTTGAGAGGAGACATTCTATGGCTTGGATTTTAAAAAGATCACTCTGGCTACTGTGTGAAAAGAGAATGAGGAGAGGGTGAGGGACGAAGGAGAGCAGTTTGTGTCAGTCCAGGTAGACATGATGATGATGATAGACCAGGGTGGCAAGAGTGGAGACGGTGAGCATTCTGGATACTTTGTGAAGATAGTGCTAGCAATACCTGCTGACGGATTAGATGAAAGGTGGGAATAAAAGAGGAGTGAGGCTTTTAGGGTGGAACAACTAGCAGAAGGAAATTGCCGTTTACTGAGATGGGGAAGAGCAGGTTTGGAGCAAAGTTGAGAAGCCAATTCAATAGTCACATGGACTGTTTGGTGTATGCATTCGGAGTTATGGGTAGAGTTTGGGGTCTGGAATATAAATTTAAGAGTCATCAGATGTAGACGGTATTATAAGCAAAGTGTTTTGAGCTACTTGCAAGAAAGTCACAAAGTAGTTTTTATACCTACATTCTCATTGTGGCAATCACACTGTCTAGGGATACCCACCCAGGTCCTGTCTCTTATTTGTCTTTGTGTGTCTGTCCCAGGGGTAGGCACTTAAAAATAATGATCTGATAACTATGCGATGTTTGCATAAGTGGGCAGAGTTGTATGGCGGAGTTTTGGAATCAAGAGATCCAGGATTAAATCATCTTTTAATACTTATTATCTTTGTCAGCATGGTAGCCATTTAAATTCTCTGAGTTTCAGTTTTCCCTTCTGTAAAATGGGGATAAACATCTATTTCACAGGGCAGACAAGTGAGAAGATGCTTGTGAAAGTGCTTTTGAAGTCCGAAAGCATGGTATAGTTATTCTGTTTTTATTGTCTCCTTTTGTTTCTAGGGCTGTACTGCCCAATACAGTAGCCACTAGCCACGAATGGCAATTTAAACTTACATTTAACTTAATTAATATTAAATAAAAGTTTAAATTAGTTCCTCAGTTTCACTGGCCACTGTGCTTCATAGCCATTTGTGGCTAGTGGCCATTGGGCAGCACAGAACAGAACATTTCCATCATTATAGAAAGTTTTATTGGACAACTTTGCACTAGCACCTCCCTGTAGGTCTGGCATGGACAGGAAAGGGTCCTGATTTCAGGAACCATTTCACAAACATATCCCGTGATCATGAGAAGCCTTGGGAAGAGAGGGCCCTGGCCCAGGACAGCCCATCTCATGGCCCTCCTGTGTTGTAGGTGTCACATCCTCACCAAGGAAACCAGGGACTGAGGAACCCAGGGGAGTGAGGCAGGGCCAAGGATGCATCACCCAGTTGCAGTGACTTCTGGTCAGCCAGACCCTACCCTCTCTGCAGGTCAAGACCTCCCCTAGGACTGACCAGTGGGCTGGTCATGGGTGGGCAGGCTGGAGGAGTAGAGGTGAGAGCTAAGGGGATGCTTCTGTTGGATCTGTCATTCAGTCCCTCTGTCTGCCTGTATGTCTATTGGTCTATAGATAACACCCCTCCTGTGTTGGGTAAACATCCCATTGGCTGCTGAGTCACCCTTTGAAAGCTGCTGGCCTCGTGTTTCTCTTCTCTCAGGAGCTCTTGGGTACTTCTCTGGCCTCCTCCCTCAGACCTGGGACCCTCAAGGCTGGAGATTAAGTCAACCCTCTCAGAGCAAGGGCTCCTACACTGAGAAACCCATGTTGCCCTTCCACACTAGGACTGCCCAAGGTAGTGACCCATCTTTTCATTTGGGGATGTCTATGTTATGACTCTGAGTCTGTGAAGCCATATTACCCTATCAAAGCTTATCGCTTTACAGTTCTGATGCTTCAACTTTCCTGTCTTTAAAGTAAGAATAAGAATATTCCTTGCCCAGCTTTCTGCCGAGTGCTTTTTATGGGAGGAAGCAGCATGAAAGTGCTTTATATGCCATGAAGGGTCATGCAGGGTGGAAGAAGCCTGTTGAATCCTCCTAGAAGTTCTTGTGGGGAAGGTGAGCAAAGATGGTTTTCCTGTGCTCAAAGTCCCAGCCTGTGTAAGTGGCAAAGCCAAATCTTGACACCCTGTGCTACCTTGGAAGACTCTACACAGCACTTTCACTTGGGAAAACTGAGCTATAGAGTGAGGGTAAACTTGCCCAGGATCGTGATGGGAAGTCAGATCCAGGGCTTCTAATTCCTGGGCTGAAGCTTTTTAAGATCTCAGAGTCCTCTTTCCTCTGGGACCTAAGTCCATGTCTGAACTCTGCCACTTGGCAGCTGTATGATCTTGGGCAAATTACTGAGCCTCTCTGAGCTTCAGTTTCTACTTTTGTGAAACAGTGCTAATAATAGCTACACAATTTGTGGGGCCCAGCACAAATGAAAATGTAGGGCCCCTTGTTCAAAAAGCAGGAAAAAACCTTTTCCTTTCTTCCGTGATTTCCTGCTCAAGCTGTCATGTTTATTGTTCACTATTTTATGTTGTGCTCCCTTGGGCATGAAGATACTCACAGGGGCATGGGCCCTGCCTCTTGACTTGGCATACACTCCGAACCTGCCCCTTCCTGTGCCTGCATCCAGGCCCCTGCCTGGGACGAGGTGGGGTGGGAGACAGGCAGCGGAGAACCCATCCTGGGGAAAGGGAAGTGGGAAGGGGACCAGAGGCTGGACTACGTGGGAGCTGAGGCTCCGAAGTCCTTAGCGCAGCCTCCATGGTTCATTCAGACTTCATTACAAAACACAAATTCAAAAATAAAATTATTAAGAATTCCAATATAGTGATAGCAGAACATCAAACCCCCATCGTGGGGCACCCTTCTGATTAGGGGCTCTGTGCAGCTGTACTGGGCACACGCCCGTGGATCTGCCCTGATAATGCCTAGCTCACAGAGTAGCTATGAAGAAGTAATGTGCCTGACCCATAGTAAGTTCTCAATAAAGGTCAGTGGTCCATTAATGTGATTATTAATTATTAAATGTGATTTTGATGACCCAGTTGTGATAATACATCTTCACTTACCTAATAGAAAATGCTGCTTCCATCTGCTCCAAGAACCTTCTTTGCCATCATCTTTCTTGGTGTTTTGCTATGGTTAAAGTTGAGGGAAGGAACAGAAATGAACATTTAAGAATACTTAAGCATCAGGCATTTTTGTGTTAACCCTCACTGCAGTAAGGTAATCTTCACTAGGCAAGCATCTTATCCCTACTCTAACTGAGAAGGAAATGGATGCTCAGAGATTGAAAGAGGCTTGCCCAGGGACACACAACACATCAGTGGCAGATGCTGGGGCTTGAATCTGGATCTGTCTACCTCGGAAGCCTGAGTTCTGCACCCGGTGCCAGCGCTCTGCTGGTGGAGCCTGCTGCCTGGGGCCTTTGTCTGTAGCTCATCTGGGAAGGGAACACCAGCTGAAGCACCTTACCTCTCCTGGGATGGCCTCATCTGCTTCCCCCAGCCCCTTCCCCATCCTTTTTGCTGCTGTGCCGGCAGCTGCATCCTGTACCCTGACAAGAGGCCTAAGGACAATGGGAAGGGGAAGGATTAGGTGGTAGGAAAGGGGCCAAGCTCCAAGCTAAACAATGGTTTCTCTCTGGATGGGTCGCAGGCAGCCGGAAGCAGCAACTCGTTCCCAGCATTATTGTGGGCTGGGGAGACGGTTGCCCCCCCTGGGATTCTCCTTCTAGTCCAGACACAGCCTCCTCTGAGTTGCTGCAAGCTTTGTGTGCCTCGGGGAAGTCTCATTTTCTCCATCTATCAACCGTGTCTTTAGCACCCAGAACAGGGTCCAGTGCTAGAGGGACCTCAGGGACCATTCACTGAATGAAATTATTAGATGAGTAGAGGAGACTCTAAAGAGTTTCCAGGTATTGTCCTTCATCTTGGTGACCCCATCCATCCATCCAACAATCCTGCCCTGAGGGAGCCCCTATCTTGGAAAGGTCCTGTGTGAGGCCCTGGAATATACCAATAATAACCAGGTTCTGCCCTGAGAGATTTCCCAGGAAGCAGGTAATGGCCCCTGGGTCAATGCCACACAATAGGTTTATACTGGAA